GAGAAAAATAATTTGCAAACAGCTCAAGAGTGAACCAAATCTTACATCGAGTTGATAGCCTCATATGTACACTCAAAAACTGGTAATCATCTTTTATCACATTTAAGAGCCGTAATGGCTATTGATCACCGTAGATCAATTAGGCTTAGAAAAAAAACCAGGCCAACGTTTTGGCGTTCGACAAGTTTACTTTGCAAAATCTTGCCAACAAATCTGGGTGCGTGTAAACCAACCTTTTATACCATGGACAGAAAGCAGTATTTCACAAAACAAATTGCTCTCATTCAATATTCATAAACTGTTAAAAAAATTTTCCAAAATCACCTATACGGCCATCCGGTTCTCACTTTTTTAGCGCGCGAGCTGTAGCGAGTGTTTGAATGAACATTAACAGAGTTACGCTCCAAGATAATAAAGAATTTATCATGTTTATTTTTTATTTGATGGTTTAACGCGCGGCATTTTGAGAACTCCTGCAAGCGATGTTCACTGAACGACTGAAAACAATCGGCATAGCGATTAAAATTGCAAGAGAGACTACTAACAATCAATAAAAGAAATATAATTCGGTGAAACATAAACAGAGACAACAATTTTCATTCAGGAAGACAAGTATTAAAGTGTCCCTAAATATCCTGAATCTTCAAGCTTCAAGCTTAAGTTTGCTGAAGTTTATGTTTTAAGCCAGCTTCCCGGTGTTTGTTTTTTCAAAGACGAACTCGAGGCAAGAAAATCGCTCAAAGCTTTCTTTTCCGGCTGGAATTATAACTAAAGATTCTTTGGAACATTTTCTTTCTATTTGCGGTGAGAAACTGTCTAAAGGCTTTTTAAAGTTCTGTAAGATTATATCAAACCAGATACTCGGTGAGATCGTTGTCTCAAATCTTACAAACGCGCATAAACTAAATTCCCGCATAAACTACGCTCCACTTCATTAAATTAGATACAAAAACAAACATGAAATACAATAATTTCTCTGGCTTACCATTCGAGATGCAGCTCCTGAAAGTTATCGGGTAAAGCCAGTATCGCTTCAGACTTTGCAATCCTCTTACGCATCAAGCAAGGTGAAAACGAAAACGATGCCATCCGAGATCGGATTTCCGACTTTGATAAGCGACGTTTTCTCAACCAAAAACCCAATAAACAAACTAGCCATGAGTAACAGAAGACTCCTGATAGCAGCTGAATTTCATTTTGTACATCCAGTGGAAAAAGACAGTCAAAAAGATCACAAGTTGACACAAAACCCTGTCAGCTTCAGCTGTCAAAGTAAACAAGAGTCAAGATGCTGCATAAATTTTCCGCATGAACTCACCTGTCAAATTTTGACCACTCAGAGCATAAAAATTGGACGTAGAGCGTGACCAACGCGTGACCATTGTGAGAAAAGTCAAAAGCAACTGCCTGTAACAGGTGGCTGAATTTTCGCGTCTGAGGTCAGTTTGCAATCAAAATTTTAATTGTGCAGCACATAAACACAACATATTTCATATGAATTTAGAACAAAATTGAACTTGAGCCTGCGATCACTTGAAAACTAGAGACTTGTCAGCGGATAACTTAAAAAATACTTGACCTCGATGGGTCGACACCTCAGCCCGCGATACGGTCAAGTGATACTGGTCAGCGGGTACCCTGTTTTGACAGCTGCCAATTGATCAAAACATTGATGTTCAATATGTGTGCATTATCAGTTTTCCTGTGCTCCCAAACTAGTAAAAGTATGAGATTGAACATTGTTCAGCGGACAGCTTCCAAATAAATCACGTCACCTCGATGAGTTAACACATGAGCCCGCGATATGGTCATGGGATACTGGTCAGTGGCTATCCTGTTTGGACAGCTGTCAATTGACCATATTGTTAATGTCCTATATTAAAGATGTGGACTTGCCAAGACACGCCTGAGACACCCCTCCCTTCCTTTTGATAGTCTCCCCTACCCCACCCATACAATCTGTAGACGCGTACGTACGTGCGTACGTACGTACGTACGTACGTACGCTCGGTCAATCACGTGACAACCAAACGAAAAGAGGTTGACCATATTCCATGGGTATGGGGCTCTGTCCCACGCGCGCTTCGCGCGCGCGGGAGCCCCGCTACAAATACCCACTTAGATAAGAGACAAAGTGGTTGATCAAGATCCAAGACTTGCACTAGTACGACATGCCCAATCAATCCATACACACTCAACACACTTCATTGAAAAAAGGTGGCTCTTGACTGCGAGTGACAAAAAATACTGATACACACAGATGCATCGAGAAAAAGGAGGCTATTCACCCAGATCAACCAGATCAACAAGGATAGCGGAATCGACATTTCTGAAGCGTGGATGCTACAACGTCATACATAAAAAACCTGGAGAAAGCACCACTCAGACAATGTACACCAATCATAGTTGGCGCCCATCCCAGTCAGACATAATGTGTCATGTGTGCAGTCGACCTAATCATCTGATTGGCTATGAAGCAGTCAAAGTGAAACAAACGATAACATCTAACATCACTCATTATGGAGTAAGTCTTTTCTCCTAAATGGCTAAAAAAATTCATAAGCTGCCAAACGCTCTCATTTGTTTTTAAGCGGAGGCCAGAAAACATTTGTGTTTTCCCTATTTTTCTTGCTATTTGATTTATTTGGGGAATCAATGAAGGGGAAAGCACTCCTTTTTCCATTTCGCTTTCTTTCCTTGCTAATCTGTTCAGACAATTCCTAGATACACAGCTATGGTACTTACGGTGCTCATGACTGTCAGTTAAACGGAACTAGAGAACCGGAAGTGACAATGGCAAATAATCCCTCTTTATCCATATACGTCAGTCAGTCGCCCTGACAAAGTCTTTATGTAAGCAGTGCCAAAGAAAGGACATGTGAAGGTGGGCTAAAGCAAGGATTATAAGGCAGATACTGAAATAGTAACTGTAGAGCTGTTTTCCTTGCCCGGGGGCATACCGTAATAAGTATTCAGTGGGTATAGGTGAGATGCTGAGGGTTTGAAACTCTGACCCTGTTTAGGATAAAAAAAATCCTAAAATCCCTACCCTGTTTAGAACAACACCCTCAATTACATGACTCGATTTAGGACAGAACCAAATGCACGCAGTGTTGTTTTTAAAGCCTGCTTTTCACTAGCAAATAAACATAAGCATAAGGACTCCGCACGCGCAGAATGGCATATTTGACCCGGTTCCCAGTACCAGCTCTCCTCAACCCGATGATAAACAAGATGGCGGACGAAGCGTCCGCCATATTGCTTTTGATATGTTCGCATGAGGTCTGGGTCAAAGTGATCTACGATTGGTCCACGGCCTTGTGGTTATGCTTCTCTTGTGCTTAAGTCATTTATTGGCAAAATTGCAATTGAGCAAATTCATGTTACAGCCAGTGCTTTTGCATACCTGTACATACAAACAATTTTCATTAAGCAAGTCAAATCAATCGGGCATACCATACTTTCACGTATTTCTGGTAATTAGGTCAGACTAGCAAGAAATTAAATACCCTGTTAAGGACAGACTCGTGCAAAATTATATACCCTGTTTAGGAAAGAGAGGAAAAAAACCGTACCCCATCCAGCGCACATCTCCGCATATACCATATAAAGGAGTACCCCACGGACTTTCCTACGGGCAAAATGACATTTAAAGCTTGGAATCACTCACGGAAACACCAAAAAAAGCTTGGATGTACAACAATCACATCTGAAAGCAAAGAGATGTATTAAAGTGAGCGCATTAAAATAGGCCCGGCGTTTTCATTTCGACGTCAATTAACAACAATTTTAGCACATATGTAAGGTGGCTCATGCTGGTACTCAGTATCGCTTGAGAAGCCCATCGCGGGCGCACATCCCACTTTGTACGCTTGCGAGATTATCAAAACAAATATGGCCTTGCACGGCTCTTTTTGTGCAAGATCACTTTTAGCTTTAAATATTTTATTAGAGTTAAGAGATCTTAAGAGGAAACGATAGAGAAAAAAAAATTAAAAAGTCTACGAAACGAAATTTCCACTACTGCGCAGTAATCTCCTATTTTCCACCTTAAGAAAAAAACTGCGCTCCACAGAATTGTTTTCAAATAACTGTACATTTTCCTTTTCTAATAATACCAAAAGCTTTCGTCCGAAAAAAATGGGGGTCCTCGGCTTATTTTTTTAGTTACCTTATAATATGAAATTAATGATCCTTGAAAATTAATGTATTGGAAATTAACGCGACTTAAATTAACGCGAATTTAGTGGAAAAAGACTGAATTTAGAAAATTAACGCGAAAGAGAGGGAAACATTTCAAAATGAACTCAAGGTAATTAACGCGACGTTCACAAAGAAACAAAACTTGTTGAAACACTAACGTTGTCCTTGGTCCTGTGCCAATACATTCATTTTTCTCGGGTTTAAAATACCCCTAATTTGGACCATATATGGTCATTTGGCGGTAAATTTGATTTTGTTTAATTAGCTGTAACTTCACGCCATTTTATCTGATTGAGATGGGGTTAACACTATAGTATTCTTTTTGTGTAGCAAAAATGTCTGTACCGTCTTGAACACAGCTTTTCAAATTTTTAATGTTGTCACTAAAAATAGGTGTCACTTATGACGTCATGCTTTCAAAAAACGTCAAAAATACCTTTACAATGGTAAAGAAAATTTTTTTCTTATTAAGATGTTCTAATGTCTTGCCTTGCTTCATTTGAAATATAAACTACTCCTCTGTGAGCCAAAAATTGAATTCAGAAGAAGTTGCGGTAGGAAAAGCCTTAGCAACCGACCATCGTGATTGAGTCATTTTATTATTTTGAACATGCTAAAGACCCTGTATACGAGCACCTCCTCATCATGAGCGGCTGGATTTTATGGGGGGTATGAGAGAATGAGTTACCGCTAAGGTACCGAGGGTTAAATGCTTACGATGACAATAATAATAGCATTTATAAATAATGAAGTTAAAACAGCTTTATAGACCATTTTGTATTTACAATGAAATGATGCTAATGAATAATACTAACTGATCCTGGCCTATCAAAATGACATCAAGCTAGGGGGCTGAACATCAAAACATAGAATGCCAACAATGCACTAGTTGTTTTGGTTGTCATTTAGCTTTCCGGAACAGAAAAATATAATATTGAATTTTTCAGAGAAAGAGAGAGAGAGAATGAGAAAGTACTGGGCCGAGCCTGGCGATGACTCGTTCCCAGACTTTCCGCTTCGAGCTAACTCGATTTTTGTCGCCACCTCAAGTAAGCCAGTCACCTCTCAGCATGCCTCTTCTCAAGTCCTTACGAGTTTCACTTAACCGAACGTAGTAAAACCAGGAAAGAGGCTTCGAAGGGACACAATAAATCGTCTCATTCCTATTCTTCTCTCGGGTTTAGTACTGAAACAAGTGACAATTAAAGATCAAATCAAATGTGTACTTATTTGTGCATGGGTGTAATCAATGTTTATTATTAAATAGCTATATAACCTTTCTCATTGATTTAAATATTTTTCAAATTAAATAAATCGTTTATCTCCAGATAGAGCGGGTAATTACTCAGAATATGCGTAGAAAGAGATGAACGGAGGGTTTTTTTGGGCCAAGACTGTATGAACTACAGCTATATGACTTTTCAGTCTCGTAGATTTGAATGTTTCTCAATAAAATCTTATATCTCCAGATCGAGCGCGTTTACTATATGTGTATAATCAGAAGAACAGAAGTTTCCTTTTTGTGTGTTGGTTAACACCAAGACGGTTAAGAACAAGTCCAGCAATGCCACTTCAGCTATTAAAATGCTTTTCTTACTGACTTCGAGGACGATTGTATTCTACCATCCAGTCGTCTCCTCAACTTTCTAAATAATGCGTAGGCTATGAGCAACAGCAACTCTAAAACCTCAGCAAATGACAAAACAGACATTCCTATCCAAAGGCCCAGGGAACCGCCAAGATCGGACACGAAGTTAACAAGCTATGGATGAAAATGAGACATAATTAAATAAAGGAGACGAAGGACAAAGTGCAGCTAAGGAGTAGTATTAAGTAATGATCCGGGTAAGGTGGATAGCAATTTCTTTTGTTATGCGGCAACGGTGCTTTCCCCACGTAGGAATGTTTTCATTTTTACACAGAGAATGCATAAACCTACATGAAGGCCGTTTACCCAATAAAATGCATTTACACTCCACTTTGAAAGGGTGTTTTTTGTGTTAAAGATTTTGACCAATCACAGGAGTTGAAATCAATAGCCAAGAAAAGTTTACAATTTTATATGTTCCCCACATAGGAATTCTTTGTTATTCAAACTGAGACCCGGTTTTGTTGTATGGAAGATGGTTGGAAAGTAAGGATGAATATACGTATCGCTTTATGAAGTTTTGTTAACTTTTGCTGTTTAAGCCAATCAGAAGTAAGTACAGACAATAGAAAAGTTAGCACCTTTTTTGCATTCCAACATGTTCGTTGCCGTTGTTGCTATCGTTCTTATCTGGACCGTTTCTTAAGCTTGTAAGGGTTAGCGCGGCACAATTTGGCTCTAAAAGTTGTTAATAAGAGCTACATTTTGGACACCGCTTTTTTTCCTTTAGTGAAATTCTTTGGCCATGGAAGTGAAAATATTGCTACTAAAATGAATTTGCGTTTTTCGAACTTTATCAGGTTTATTCTTACTGCTTAGAATGTCAAATCCAGGCCTCACCCAAGTTAAAAAAGAAAAAAAAAATAGGTCGTCGTGTATTTGCTTCCCCATAGGACATCTCATTAGGAAATTTCACGTGGTAGCTATGAAACTATAAGGATCCATTATGGCTCTTGAAATATCTTATTGCCGTCGCCGTCGTTGTTACTAGAACTTCCTACAGTACATTAAGATATTTGAACCTCAGAGTAGTATAGTGGACATCAGTTAGGGTCGAAACTTTTCCCAGGCACGGAAACTTCATGAGGGACGCGACCCTGAAGTAGAAGAGTGGGTGGCTGGGTGCGTTCAGTTCAGATTTACTTGATGGGGATAATCAAAGGATTTTTATGGGTACAAAATAACGATTTTGCGATGAGATGATTGAGGAAATTTTATAGCTTGTTTTAGACTCTTTTGTTGGATTTGAATTGGAATTTTTTGGTGTGGGGAGAGTTTCACCGTAAATTGATTCTGCTCTACTTGAAGCTTTCTTTTTTCGCGGCTTTCTTTATTTGGGCTCGCTCCTCGCTCCTGGAGCCTGGTTTTTTAATAATTTGTCCCCATTCGGTCATCCATGACACTTTGGAATCGTAGAACGTCCACGGGCATTACGATAGCAAATCCTCGCACTTACTACATAGGATCGCTCCTCTCTGATGAATTCATAGTTGAGTTCCTCGTAAAATATGTTAAGTTTGAGCACGTTAGATCTGTAAAGAAATGGGATAGCCGTTAAGGGTAATTATGCCAGAAAATAGCAAACTCAATTAGATGCCGCATTTTCCCCTTTGATTGTTTTTGAAAACTATTTTTGAGCTGCGATCGTTAGTTCAATTCACATTGTAGACACTCAAATTGGAAAGCAACACTTGGAAGAAGATTGACCAATCAGAACGTGTTCTGAAAACAAAAGATTCTCAAGTTTTTTGCAAACGGACCAATAAAATTCAAGGCTCAACTTTGCGACCGTTGAAAACGTTAAAACCGTTTGAACTTACCTGACCTCTGAGGAAACAGCCCTCAAATTTATGAATGTTATTGGTCCGTTTAAAAAGAAAATTGAGAATCTTTTGTTTACAGATAACGTTGTGATTTGGACAAACTTCTTCCAAGTGTACCGGTTGTAAGGCCTGTTTCAAACGTCTTGCTACTGTCCTGCTAAGCTGGCTCGATCAACTGTAGCTTGACTGCAGCACGAAACTAGCACGACTTGGTTTCAAACGGCGAATTTAAACCAGTCGAATAGAACGGCGGTTCATGTTGCCAAAAACAAATCCAGAATTAAAGAAACTGTTAAGGCATCTTTTAAATGTATTCTAATGTATTTATAATTTATGAACTGAGCTCTGCACGGCGGTAGCGCGACGTTCGAAACCAATGCAAGTCGTGCTACTGACGTGTAGCACGACCGTAGCACAACTTGGTTTCAAACGTAAGGCTACTGCCGTGCTAAAGTCGAATTTAGTTCGCTCAATGGCCATTTTTATAGTAAAAACGCATTATCCGTCTGGACAAACTTGAGAAAATATTTTGTTGTTCGTCTGGGTTATGCGTCTCCAGTATAAACACTGGCACAAGACGCGTTATGCGTCCAGACGAACTACCTTTCGTAGTGCGTCGTTCAAGACGTATTTCGAATTAAGTTCGTCCAGACGCATAATGCGTCTTGTGCCCGTCTTTATACCTGGCACGCATGACCAGACGAACTACAAAATGTTTGCCCAAGTTCGTCCAGTCAGATAATGCGTCCTTAGTATAAAAACGGCCAATTTAGTTCGGCACGGCAGTAGCACGACGTTTGAAATGGGCGGAAGACTAAATTAGATTTTATCCTGTTCTTCTGTTTGTACAGTTACAAATTTTTACATCAATAAATGGAAATACATTATACAGTTTACCTGAAATTGTTTGTTCTATTTTCAATTTCTAGTTCAATTCCTTTCGAGGCCAGCTGTTCAACATAGAAAGCCTGCAACAAAGAAACAATCTGGACGTTAACTTTTACTAATAGGGCTGCAATAGAAATAAAGAAAAAAAAGGCTCTACAAAACTAACGAACAATAAGGGAAGTAACTTCATTGAATTAGAGCATATTCAAGGGAAACAACATAGAGAGAAACCGAGATATGATCACGAGGGATTGGGGACCTTGCAAAGGTGATGTTTGACCGTAACGTTTCGAGTAAGGTTGTTCAGAACAGTGACATCCCGGCCGAAAAGGCCGTATAATGATGAAACGGTAAGCGCGCATGGCTTTTGGTTATAAACTTATGAGTTTTCACCCTTCTATTTCAGTGGACAAATTTTGGTTCGAACTCATAATTAAATTTCCTTTCCTTTTTTGATGTCACACGCCAATATTTATTTCATTTTTTTCCCTTTGAATTGGAGAGTTGGGGTAGTGTAAACGGAGGAAAGCTTGATTCTTTTTCCTCAATTTATTGACTGACCATGCAAACAGATCGATAGAATTTTGGAAACGGATCGATAGAAACGGCTTGGAAACTAAAATTTCGAGGACGTTTTTGGACTTTTTACATTTAGGGCATGAATTTTTCGTCATTTCAGGCCATGGAACCTAAAAATGAGCCTAGCTAGCTGTAAAAAGGGGCAATACGGAGGCAATACGTCCTAGCCGGCATGATCACATGCTGTTTACGGAAAATTCCCTCATCCATGTCAGGAAATTCTGTATTTTAAAGCCTCCCCTAGGGCATGACTCAGCAATTGAGGACATTTCTGCTATGTTTTCATTGTTGGTTAGCATGCAAGGATTTTTCGCATGCCTATCGTCAATGATTTGCTCACTGGTAATAGAGGGGGTGGCCCCAGAGTGGTTTTGCATTGAAATTGGCATGCAACAGAATTTCGCATGCCCTGTAAGAATAAATTGAGGTTCTGTGACCTTCTCACCCAGGCCGCGAGAAGCCTAGGTTCTAGTAATAAGTAATTCATACCCAGCAAAATCTCCGGCATGCCGGGCATGCCAAATTTTCTGACATGCCCGGCATGCTAAATTCTCTGGAATGCCGGGCGTGCCATAATCTGGGTCATGCCGGGCATGCCAAAATTGGTCTCTGGCATGCTCTCAACGATCAGGTTATAATTCCTTGAATCTACAGATATTTTAAGCCTGGCTAAAAACAAAAAAAAAACTAAACAGATCACAGTGCTTATCTTTTGATGTACGGTTACACGATGACGTCATTGCTATTCCTTTCATTTTCATAGATTTGGTTGTCCCAGAGAACTTTAAATAACAAAAGCTCTAATTTTCACAAGCAAGTAAAACCCTGAGGGATTCGTCCGTAGTAATAAAACAGCGTCATCGTGGAGATGACCCGTTGGGGGATTGTAAAAACTCCTCACCCCTTTTAATGAGTCTTTAATAGGATTCCCATTTCACATTGCGAATAAAATGGAATTGACTGAAATCAGTAAAAAGAGAGACAGAGACTATTTTCATTGTATAATAAAATGCATCTATGTTCCATGAAAACTTTTAAAAATACAAGGTTATAGAATATCTTTCAAAGTTCATTACAAACTGAGCTAAGCCCCAAAATCATTGTTCATTATTCAGTAAATTATGATGTTTGACAATGCAATGTGCTTGAATATAACGTTGTAATTACAAATCTCTCTAACGCAATTTTCCCTACGTTAGAAAAGCTGTTAGAAAGTCTGAGTTCCTCTTTCTTGTTTTGTAGGCTTGCCAGGGATTAATGTTTTTGTGTCATTACCAGTGTCTGTGTTCTTTGTTTTTAACTCAAAGTAAGTCAGTAATAACTGACAGTATCAAAGAATTGCTCTCTAGAAAAGTAATTATCTCCTCGTCATGTCTGGAAGTTACCTGTAACAAAAAAGAAATGGAATGTTAACACATGCAAGGGCAATATGAAAAAAGAAATAGAACATGTAGACTCAGCTTCTCTTAACATATTTTCATACTGGCTTGTTGAGTCTGTTAAAGGTCGCAACTAATTGTCTGAGGCTAATTTCACAAGAGTGTGCAATTGAGATAAATGCATGGTAAATAAACTGAAAGAAACGTGGTTTCACATTAGCCAATTTACATTGCGCTGTTCGATGATGTTTACACGCTTTTCTACTGCGAAGTAAACCTTTGCATTTGGATTTGCAAGTCAAGATTATACCGAGTTTGACTGACACTTAATTGAACAACAGTTTCATTTTTAAGCAGGTAAGGTGTAGACCCATATAAAGCCGGAATATGTAAAGGAAACTCAGCGAAAACTTTTTCGTATCTTTTTGTGACGATATTCTCTCACGGCCCGTCAACTGATTAGGGGTTGCGAAGAAAAAATAAATTAGGACCAAAGGTTAAAGCCTGTCCGGTTACACCATTTCGTATGTTACCTAGTGTTCTAATAAATAGGTCAAAAAACAGGATTTAACGAGTGCGAATTTGTTTCTCAATCGGTGTATAAAAAAGTGAGGCTATCAAATGAGAAGTTTATAGAGTATCAAAACTATTAAATTAAAAGCTCACATAATTAGGAAAATTCCTATACGAAAATAATGCTAGTGACATTAAATTGATCAGATAAAATTCTCAGAAAATATGTCGAATAAAAGCCTCATTGTTTGCTTTTGTTTTTGCGTAAAGGTAAATTTTTCGGGCCACAAAGCAAAGTTGAAAAAGCGACTAAATCTTAGTTTTTTACATTGAACATGTTTATTAGCTTAGTTTTCGTCCGTTTTAAAAGCTTTATAACCCAATCATAATTTAATCATAAAATAGTACAAAATCATTTCAAAAACCATCTTCATTGAAAGTAGAGCCGGCAAACGTGAACATTTTGTAATTCAAAAGTCGGACCCAGCCAGGTTGTTTAAGCTTAGAATTATTTGCATTTTAGCGTCCTATAAATTTACCAGAATCGCCTCTCAGAGGCTTACTGTAGCAAAGCATTTTGTAGTACACTCGTAGACAAGCAATGTAAGCCTTAAGTCTTTGCTTGGATGAGATGTCCAAAAGAAAAATTAGTTTTGTGGACCTAAACGCACATTCACAGACTGCTTATATTGAGTTGTTTACAACTTTGCATTGACACACGCGGCATGTTCATTTTTTTAAAGCGAAATCCAAATCTGATTTTGGCATTTGATTTACGGATATTTTATTTTGTCTCCAAAAGTGATTGTAATATCCGTTTGATTGTCTTTCAAACAACAGTCAAACTATGCAGCAAAAATAAGTAACTTTACCAGTACAGTGAAAAAAATATGACCGTAGGTGCCAAAAATAATTATACTCGAGCTATAAAATTAGATCTGACTTTTTTTAGCTTTGGTTTCTTATTTTTGAAGTTTTCTCTAGTCTTCTTAGCAGCAGAAGAAGATTACAAGACATAAAAACAGAAACAATCCGAAGTGAACGAGATGACAACCACTTTTGCCGGAGTTCTTAGGCATGCTCAACCGCAAGATAAACTGAATGCCTAAAGGCTAATTCACGGGATTTGTTCAATATTCAGGCTTTTTCTTTACCAAATTAATACTAAATTTGTACTTACAGTCTCTCGCAGAGTCCATTTCTTGTTCAGCATTCACCAACATCTCAACCATGCACCGCAGAAAAAAAAAGACAAACAAGTGCGAAGAGACATGACGACATCGTGACGCCACAACTGCCACGCTACAACAAACTAGATTCATCGTCTTCCGAAAACACTTCTGCGGAAATTCGGCCGATTTCGTGCGTGCTCGGGGTATCTTCGGATGACGCGGATGACGTTGCTCAAAGGACTATCGTCAGCAAGGAGTAAAACAGTTTGCGAGATTCGCATAGCCGACAAGGAGCGCACTGAAAAACTAAGCAAAATCTCTCTGAGAAGGCAGTCCAAATTCACCAACTCAGAACGTCTTTGCAGTATTAACGTCGTACTCTCGTACTGACTTGAAAGACCTGGTAAGCTTAATTTTCACCAGTCTTTTAATGCTGTCGGCCGGGAAACATTCCGACGCCATAAAACTTAAGCATGGATAAGTTCATACTGAGAAGATTTGTTATCTTATTGTTTAAGACGCTTTTCCCCGATCAAATTTAAATCTGGACCCAGAAATGTCAGTATCGGTTTGAAATAAAAGGATTGATCTTTGATTGCAAGTTAAGTATTCTATTTTATGCATGAATAATGTTGTTTTGTTGTGCTTTTTATTTATAAATCCAGGCTTCTGTCTTCAGTTTTGCCAGTCGATCCCGTGACACACATTGTGACAAACATGTCTTTTTTGTTATAATCTGCATTTATTGCCAGGCTTGAAAGCTGTAACTTCAAGCTCCCTAAGATATATTTGGCGACTATATGTGATTCTCAAGATATGATGCTGAAGCGAAAATCAAAATCAGTCTCGCTGGGCATGCCAATTTCTTGCCTGTCATGCCGGGCATGCCAAACCAAGTGGCTTCACCATCGGCATGCCCGGCATGCCAAACCAGAGGAGCAAAAACTGGGAATGAATTATCAACCCGGCGAGAGATCTGGGACCTAAAGTTGGCTGGGTCAATTTTGGGCTGCGAGGGCATGAACCCATTTTTTCCATGCCTATGAGATGTTATTTCTAAGTACCAATGTTCCCTTGAATTTTGTCATGCCTAAATATATAGAATTTTCCCTCTCTCATTAATCCTCAGACTGGATGCGATTTTTACACTCGCTAGGCATGTTCAAATGAAAATCATGCCCATACCCTTATTCAAAACAAAATGCTATCAAATTTTAGTTTCCAAGCCGTTTAGAGTTTTGGAAATCAATCTCAAAATTAAGTCTTCATTTTTTTGTATAGACTTAACACATACTTTTGGATTTACTTTGCAGTTCAACAAAAACAATCTCAAGGCGATAAACTTTATCATACAAACCTGGTACGCCTCAGAGGGCCAAGAAGAAAAGGACGACGTTAATTTAAACACATTCTCTCTGCAAAATTTATGAATAAAATCACCATAAGAATTGCTCCTATACGCGCACCAAAGCTGTAAAGATAGCCTAGAGGCAATCTGTTTTCTGACTGCTGCCTTCCGTTTTGATCAACGGATTGACTAAATGACTCGCCAAATTTTCTCCTTTCAGCCCTTTGGAGTATTTTTCTTCAGTAAATCCACGGAATTGTGAGCCTAATATATATATTAGAGGGGAGGCCTTATTAGAGGCTAGCTACCCTTATAAAAAATTTCCATGTCCTTGTTTAATGAATGGTGCAAATATCTACTATATTTTGACTACATTTTTAAATAAAAGTACGCCCAACATTAAATTTTGAACGTGTACCTGGGCAGTTGACTCTGTCGTCTCCGGTTGCATCCGCATATATGTCAAACTTGTCGTGTCAATTTGATTCAGAAATCACAGGGGTGGTTGGGGAAAAGGAGGGAATTATTTGCTTACTTACGCCTCAGACTGGAGGTTATTGCAAAGGAGGAAATGGATATATGATTGACTGATTGTTAATTGATTGACTGTTAATTGACTGATTTATCGATTGTTTGATTAATTCTAATTATATATAGATTTTTACCTGCATGGTGGTGGACATGATTTGGTGCAGTTCAACTCATTTCGTTTGAATGCTTTCTGAACTTTGGTCAAACAATTAACTGAGAAGCAAAGGCAGGAGGAGGTATCAGAAACGTGTAATCCTGTTCAAATCGAATGGCATCCAAACGGCAACGAACTCAGACCTCAGACCCTGGAATAAATCTATTTTGCTGAGTCGAAGGATGAGAGGGTCGGTTCTAACTAAAGAGAATCTGCTGACTGTATTAAAAGGAGGTGCACATGGAAAGGGGGTCAGACTGTACTCCATCGATATCCCGCCGACTTCTGTAAGCTGTCGCCTTTACTAGTCTGCAGTTAAGTGAGTTTGCCCTAAACTGAAACCCGTCTTCCCATGGATCCCTAAAGAGAGTGAGGGACCCGCCCACTCCCTTCTCCCCCGCTCCCGGGAATTAACAGAGGGAAAGGCCTTTGGAACATTGTTGAACACTGAACCTTAGTGGAGGTGAGTGGTAGATGAAACATTTTATGAGCGATAAAACTCTTCGATTCGTACCAACTGTCTTGTTGAGGATATCGCAGACTGGAGTCGCATTAGAAGGAATAGGAAACCTGTACTCCATGCATTTACACTCCTTCCTTTGATTAAACGCCAGGCAAGACTCTTTACATGCCTGTTTAAGTAAACCCAAAGACAAAAGCAAAGAAAAATAAATTCAAATGAAAATACCAGAGTGTTTTGTAACAAGTACCTATGTCTTAAAACGTGTAATTCTGACTTGGCACTTGAGTGGAATAAGGTGTACCGTTTACCCTATATATAGTTCAATGTGGGCCTTGTTCAGAGGACACTCAGTAGAAATTTTGTATTCTACGTACGAAAATGAAATACCGAAGGACCCACACCGACCAGTTTTCGAGTTCTCTGACCTAAATAAATGTTGTTACGCTATCTTAGCCAACTAAACCGCTTGAAAATTCTACACAGCCATTAATATTGTAAATTCCTTTCTAAAGATTTGTTTTTTGTTTTGTTTTGTTTTGTTTTTTTTTTACCCAAATTGCTATTTGAGCTTTCGAAATGTCCAGCTATATATGAATTCTGTTTAGGCCGAAACACCTCCACTCTGCTGACTCGATTCAACTCCACGGGTTCATAACATGCATAGACATCTTTTGAATGGTAGGCTTACTATAAATTTTAATTTCTGTCCTATTAGCTAATTTAAGCGAACTAAAATTGCACCCTAATTAACGAGGAACTGTATTTCGCTCACTATAGCGGCCGCAAAATACTTACAGAGCTGGAATACCCGACTTTGAAGGTATGATTGTACAGATTCGCCTCGTCCAACTTCGTTTTATTTGCATTAAAGCATCTATTGTTATTAAATGGATCTTCTCTAATTATCTCCACCTGCCAATAGAATAATATCACGTTCAAGCTAATTCTAGAAACTGTAGAAAAGCACCCCGTTCCGACCAAACTAGAATTACATTAGAAGACCCAGCTCAGAAGCTGACGCCGAACCTAATTCGAATTTTATTTAGATCGGCTGTTTAGACGACGATCTTAATTCCAGCCGAAAAAGTTCAAAAGGAGTAAAATACTCGTTTCGCTCAAACTGCTTGAAAAGTACGTTATAAAAATTATAATTTTTACATTAGCTTTGGGACATGAAAAGTTTGGCGTCTGAATTAAAGCCGCTGTTCCCAAAACCGAAATTCCCGGCCAGGTTAGGTGGGAAGAACGGCTGAGCCGTTCCAAATTGAAATAGGCGTTTCCTAATTGATTCAGAAGCCGAACGTTTCATGTACTTAAGGATGTCAGTAAAACGCGGGGTCGGGGTCAACAACAACAACGAGCTTTATTTGCATGAGCATACAAAAACATACAGTATTGCAAAAGCTATATTTAGGAATCAAAATTACAACAGAGGGCATGCAATTACGTTACTTTGATTATAATTTGTCACGAACATCAAAACAAGCTGAAATATATTTTATGAATTGTATATCGATCGAATAGTAATTAGAAGAGTTCATCAGTTCATTGATCTAACCGTTTATAGGTAACAGCGCAATATTTGGAATCAGAGTCTTGACTTTATAGTAAAATTTATTCCTAATCATAGAGTATGTAGGACATTGAAAAAGAAAGTGTACTTCGTCTTCCATTACATTGCATCCACAAAAAGGGCAATGCCTATTATCCTTCGTAGTTTGATTGTATCTGCCTATTTCTATCATTAGTTTGTGATTGCTTATTCGTAGTTTTAATAAAGCCCTTCTCCCAGCTGTTCCTCTTGTTAAGTCTAAGTAACTAGAAGAGGTATGATAAGTTTTAAAAGATCTATAAAATTCAAGTTTTTGAGAATGTTGAAGGGTGTTTTGCCAATATGAGATATGTTCCATTGTTTCATGAACTTAACATAGCTTTTTACCATAGCTATATCTAATAAATCAGGGTTAAAGTCAGAAACTTTAATATTCTGACATATTAATTCATTAAATGAGAGTGGAAGCTATTTTTGCCATCACAGTGTAAGTCGATTGACATTAAAAAAGTTTGTTTGACGAGAGATTCCTCATCTTTAGACTGTATATACAAAAAGATGGTATTTCAGAATTTTTTTATTGATTGTGATATTTAAAGGAAAACGACCAAGCTCCGCTTTACAAGCTATATTAGAAGCTTTGTTGTTTACCTCCAAGTATCGTTTACAAAATTGAGGGTGTGCCTTCTCGATTTGTGAGCCGTCCCAGGTCTTAAAATCTGGTTTGGCATACACACTCCAAATTTCACTGTTATATGTTAGAATAGGGGAGATCATAGCATCAAATATTTTACAGGCGAGAGATGCTTTTAGTTTGCTATGATTCGTGTGTCGTCTCAAGCTGAAGAGGGCATGAAGAGCTTTCTCCTTGAGATGTTCACGTAACACTGAAAAATTTCCCGATGCGGACATTCGAGTTCCTAGTAAGTGTACTCTTGTACAACATCAATTACTTGACTATCTATGAGAAAGTGAAAATCAGCAATTTTTTTTCTCGCATGTTTCTGAAAAACCACAATTTTTTTTCTTGGGATTGATTTTCATCATCCAGGAAGTACAGAACGAAGATAGTTTATCGAGGCAATTTTGTAGTCCTGTTTTGGATCGTGATGAAATGATTAAATCGTCTGCATATGATAGAGAAGGCAGGTCGTTAATATAAAGATTAACAAGACGCTGCGGAGCGTACACTTCGGCGTCGCGGTTGTAGAACTGATTAATTGTAAATGCGGAGGAATAGTAAGAAATGAAATACGGTAAGAGCAAGGTATTAATTTGTGAAATTATGGGATTTGTCAGGATATTCTGAAAAGAGCAACATCCAAGAGGCCTACTTGCCAAGAACTAGCATTTCGGGACAAATTGTCTCTGAGATATTAGCCCAGTTATGCTCTGATGACTTCACACAAATCCTTCTAAATTTGACTTGGGTCTAAACGTTTACACCTAAGTCAAATATGAGGTTACTGGCGGTGAATAACAAGTCTAACAAAACAAACAGTGAAAAGAGAATTCTCTATTTTTCTTAGTCACATCAGGCTTCAAAAACAGCATAGCAGTCTCATGTACTGATTAAAGATACGTAAAGCATGGGTAAGGAGTCAATTACGTTGAGGATGGAATTGGCTGTTACGAGTTCGAATGTTTTGAGGATAATTATTCACTGACTGTCAGCACGCAGGAATGTCGGATTAACACAAGGAAGTTTAATACCAAAGGAACATAGCCTTTTCAGAGCTTTAAAACACAGCATCCGCCAACACAAACTTGAACTTGAACTTAAGTACAACTAAACAGCCTCTACCAATAATAACAAACTCTGACTTGAACTTCAGATATCTTACGGCTTCCGCCAACTTGTAAACACAGAACTTAAAAATCGGCCTTCGTCACACTTGACTAAACACAGCAGTCCAGCTCGTGGGAAAAAAACTTAGTTCGTCAAAAGACCTCGCTTGGAACTTGTATACCGTTTGATATAAGGTTCTAGAAAATACTAAACGGGCGAATAGTAGTAGCTTTTCGACATATTTTATGATTTCAGTAACTGATGCAAATCTGCTGACTCATGCTGAAATATAAACATGCCCTAATTAATTATTCGTGAATAATCCAAAAAAGTAGAGAACGTTCGAGAAAGTCACACAAAGCATGAAAGCAATTTTACTACGTAACACTCAACAAAGACAAAATGTCTTTGTACAGCATTTTGTAACTTTACTGATTCATCATAAAGCAGTTCGAAAGGAGGGCTCACTCGTGAAATGTTTTTCAACACTCGAAGAGAAATTTCGTGTCTCTGCGCGGCCACGTAACATCCTCTATTCATTCCTCGAGTAAATTAAAGACTAAACTCGAAGTGATCTCAAGATATCACAAAGTAGTCCTGTTTCACTTCGTGAAATAGCCGAAACAAGCCGAAAAGTCGCGAACTTGCACGCCCAATCTTGTCCCGAAACTAGTGCATAATTTCATAACTATTTTTCATATCCCGAACTACCTTGGGTCGCAGTAACGCAATCGGCTAATCCCTCAACTTAGAGTCTCCTCTGACCTGACGGGTCACACAGGTGAGTCGGTTCAAACCCCCGGGAAGCCAAAATAACAATTCTTTCTTCCTCGAAAAAGTTAAAGAATAAATCAAAGAAATCGAAGTGATCTCGAGATATCTCGAACTAATTCGGCTCTCACTTCGTCAAATAGCCGAATAAAACCGAAAACCTACAGACTTTGCATGCCCAATCTTGTCAAAAAATTGTAACTTTGATACATTCCTGAGCGTCGCGAATCCTTTACTTCGCGCTCCGCCGAAGTAAAAAGCAGTGGACTTAAGATACAGCCTTGACGCACACTTCTCGCATAACGGAATCAGTGATCGCTTTTGCTTTTGGGCAATTTTACTTGAGCAGGAAGAGTTGTGAAATAAGCTTTTAATTAAGTTATAAAAGAACCCCCAACATCAATTTGCAGCAGCTCATTCAAGAGCCTGTCATGCCAGACCGAATCAAAAGCTTTTTTGAAATCTACAAAACAAGCATAGATCTTTTCGTTGTGATTATAAACGTACTTATCTATCAAGATATCAAGGTTCGGAGAGTGAAGACGTGCTCTGCTGTGCGGTTATTCGGTAAAAAGCCAATTTGAGATTTGTGGAGTATATTCAAAGAAAGGATATACTCAAAAAGTCGTTGGTTTAAGATATCACAAAATAGTTTTCCCAGGCAGCTGGAGACACAGAATGCTGTTTTAGGGTTAGGGTTAGGGTTAGTGTCAACCCTAACCCTAACCCTTACAGCATTCTTTAAAAAAAAAAGATAGGCTTCGACCCCAACCCCGACCCTGCGTTTTACTGACACCCCCAATTCAATGCATTAGGTTCGGCTCATGAAAAGTTCGGCGTCTGAACCGGTCCTTAAGAGTTCTACAGAAGCTTGAAAATTCACTACAATTAAATACCACTGAAGTTCATTTAGGAAAACTGCAGTGCATTAGTCTCAAAATACAAAAATTAACGCGAACGAAGATCTGAAACTGATAATAATTAAAAATAGTGAACACAGAAGTGAAGCAGTGGTGCCCGTTGTGCGGGGCCCTCGAACAAGGACGTAGACAATAATGTGCAATTAAGACATTTATAGCATTAACAGTGCAAAGCCACCGTCTGGCTAATTAGTGGTGGAGTTGCTACTGAGCTGTCAACTTCAGGAATTGTTTTGTCTTCAACCCAAGTTGCACGTCGCAGGCAAGCTTATCGACACTCACAGCGTAAAAAGAGAAGATTAAAGAATCGAATTAGAGCATTACCTTTCTCATGCCTATCGACGTAGCAAACCCTGGCGGCGCACTAAGTCCCTTTTCGCGGGGAAACGCCATCTCGCCTTGATTTGAAATGTCTATTCTTACTCCGGCTTCTTCTGCGAAGGCGCCAATATATTCTTGTTGCTGGATATTTAGCTCAAGAACTAACCCTGATAAAAGGAGATACAGAAGTTTTGTATCTAATGCGCTCCCATGCACTATGTGATATGAGTTGACCAAGACAACTAATTTTGAGGAATTAGATCTCAAAAATCCCTCTTCTCGGACGCAAAATTTACTTTCCTGCCATGAAATGGATTCGAAAACAAAACCGTCTGCATTTTCCTCTTTGTCAGCTATATCGTACAAAGCAGGGCAACTCTTCAGCGATAAATGGCCTCTGATTACATATCATTTATTAGAGCAGTAAAAACTAGAGTGAGCAAGAATCCCTGTTTCAGGTTTTCTCTTGCATGCCTGTCCCAGTATATTAGACCTTGTTTTTCTGTGTTGGGTCACGTGGTCTTTGTGAGTTTGTGAGGTTTCCTCGCCTTCCATCTCGGCTACGTTACAAATATGCATCGACCGAGAAGGCCTTGGACAATTTCTTAGAGAGATTTGGCAAGATTTAAGGATTTGAGTCTTACCAACGTAGTAAGCAGAAAATTTTTAAGGGGGTGCTAGCTATTCCAATTCAGTTCAACCTCGTTTCAGGGTTCTGTGGAACTTTTCCCTACGCCCTACGCTCTACGTCTCTCTCTAGGTTGTTCGAACTGTACTTAAAACGTAATATCAATAATAGTTTTGTTGTATATCCTAAATTTGCCCAGTCTATACATTCTCCCAATTCCCCATTACATACGGAGATTCTCATGAATTCTTGTGTGTTTGTTATAATTCTACGAAAACGCGAAGGAGAAAAAAGCAAGTTGTTTTAAAATGGTTAGCAAAGGTAGATGTAACGAAAAGAAAAGTCTGATTAGGAAAATGATTAATTTAGCGCCGAGAACTGCGCAAACCGCGTGTATGCATGACAATTGAGACTTTAAGATCCAACGACGCGACGGCGACAAGAACGTCGCTTAAAAATTGAATTTGCGTTCTTTCAGTCTTTATAGTGATTATTCCTACCCACTTACTTTGTCAATGGTAGGCGAACCCTCCTGAAGCTGAATTTCAAGGGACCATATTCAAGCTCAGAAAGAGAAATAAAATTTCGACGTTGCTTGTTTACGTCCTCCTTAAAACGCGAAATTAGGCATTTTCACGTCGTAGTCGTGCACAAACGGGAAAGAAATGTACAAAAAAGTGTGATGCACGTGCGAAGTTGGTTGTTTTGCTAATTAAACCGATTGTTTTTTTGACGTTCTCGTTACTGTCCACGTCGTTGGATCTTAAAGTCCCTAATAAAACACGGCGCATTGCTTAAAAGGGCTCGCCTTAATCAAAATGAACTTTACAGACTTTAATTGGCAAGAGTTCCTCTAGTATTACTCCTGTGTTGTTATCTTACCGTGCGATGGCCCCGGTTTGTTTGACTTCAACACCGAAACTGTTTTTCCTTTTTTGTCTCTTCCAGCATTGAAGATGTAGCAGTTTCCATAAGAATAATGCCAGTAATTAGTCCAATAACTGCTTGTGAAATTTCTGTGATAAAGCAAGATAGGAGTGAAGAGGTAAACATGAAAAGTTTTTGTTTGTGCTACTTCATGTAGTCTGGATCCCAGTCGTTAGCCACTCTGATTCCGGATTTCTTGAGCCAGGAGCCCATAAGCCGAAGTGAGCAGCTTTCTAGTGCCCTCGCAATGGCATCCATTTTATTTTTAGATGGATTTTCAGCGAATTTTGAATATAAAATCAGCCTTACAAGTCCATGCAGTTGAAACCGGAGACAGGAAGGTGTTTTCTGATGTTTTAACATGATGTTTTTTTCGCAGGAAAAAGTGCTGCAAAATGATAAAAATAAACCGATCGGTGAAAACGCCGTTGCACAAGCCAAGTATAGAAATTGCACGCTTCAGGTTATGGTCTCCCGCTTGAGCTGAATTCCCAGTTCCAAATGCCCAGGATCCCAGATCCCACAAGAAAACATTTCTCGGATTCCGGACTCCACAAGCCAGACTAGCGAAACTTTTTCCGGATTCCAGAATCCAGAGTTATCTTACATGCATGGGGAGACAAAGTAAAAAGAAGCAAATACTACCTACCCACACGGTATTCCACGGTACGTGCAACTCAACACAAAATCCTCAAAAGCATGTCCCAGTGGAATAAGTTCCTCGGTATCAGTTTCTGCCATAACCATAATCAACTCCTCTCGTCGCCTGAAGTCTTCCTCAAGTGAATCGGGATTTTCAAAGCCTTCTTCTTCCTCTTCAGATGGCTCTGCGGGATCCTTCAATAAGCCGGCTGCTCTTTTTCGACGCCGGGCGGGTGCACCTGTCAAATTGAAAAAAATTCCGAATCTACTCCCCCAAAATGAGTGCCTCGCCCTCTTTCAACGAAAAAGGCACTCCTTATAATTTTATCATCTGAACATTAAATTTTGACAATGCTGATAAATGTAACCGTTGTTAAAGCTACGGTAACACGAGCAACAAAAACGGGCAACTTGAATTGTTTTGGAACATTTTACTCGTACAGAGGCCTTGAACGTGATGTTGCGCATTAAATTTTACTACCCACGTTCGGCAAACCTGTCTTGCAAACAAATCAGGTTATCGCAAGTTGCGTGAATACTGACAACTGACTGGACAGAATTACGCAGGAGTCACGCCATAAACGGCTGGGACTTGCTGCCAAGCAAGTTTGCCTTGGCCGGTAAAATGCGCAACATGTACACATTTTGTTGCAAAAAGTATAACTACTCTCTACTATCTGCAACAACTTTTCGTAACCCGCAACAACCTAATTGTTGCAAGACAGCTTTGACTCGTGGGAGGTAAAACACGCAACATTTTGCTTTTCAACTAATTTCAGTTTGCAGCAATGTTGCAGAACGAGTTGTACGTTTTTATCGCCAGTTTTCCCGTACCTTAACGTTGACTTAACGTTATTGATTTGAGCCTCAAAGGCGCCATTAATCTTTGAAACTTTTGTCGCGATTTTGTTGACTGTTGCCATCATTTTTTTGTTAAAACGGGTAACGAAAACTATAACTTGTTTTTCAACATACTGAAAAACAAGTTGAAATGTTACATTACGCGTTTTATCATACCCATTGATCCAAAAATCAAATTATAGACGAAAAGATTAATGATCATGAATTGAATTTTCTTTTTAAGGCTTTCATATCTGAATCTAAATTTCACTCTGACCCCGCTGGGTGTCTTAACCCAGCTTTGAACAGCCCGGTCCAGATTAATTAGATTTCATTATTTCGCACTATAAACACAGAATTGCGCCATGCAAAGTTTAGAACATCTACCAGCCTAGAGTCGGTCACGAAAAGAATCGACAAGTTGTCGACCTTCTCTTCAGATTAAATACTTGACGTATTTGGGAAATTGTTACACTTTTCCTAGAATATTAATCTGCTATTTGTTATTACTAAAAACCGACCTTTTAAATCCTCGAGGGCTCCCAATATATCATTTCTTAAATCCTCTGGGAGGTATTCTACCGAACTGAGCTTCACTGCGTTGAAGTTGCATATGGTAATGGCAGGAAAGTCGAGACTCTGAAAATACAGAACAACTTCTTAGAAAAGAAGATAAAGGTCTCTCTTAACTACGCCTCTGAACTCAGACGACTCTATTTGTAGCTATATTGAAGCTCGATCAGTAAGTTGGAGTGATTTTTACAAAACTCTGTTATTGTAAATAGTTTTAACTCAGAAAAAAACTTCTGCAGGATGTGTGATTCGCCGAGTTGCTGAAGAAGATTCAAGTCCTCTACTTTTTTTTCAGTATGGTATGTCTTCTCTTACTACGTAGGTGATGCAAATTCTTTTTTGACCTGGTTATACCGCGGAGGCATCTACGTGCTTCGTCAAGTCAAGTCAACTTTATTTAGGCAGGGTAGCCGGTATCAAAAGGGGCCCAGCGTAAATTACGACTACACGATAAATTTAAAAAATTAAAAATTGATCTAAAATTATGTACAAGGATTTTAAAAAGTGCATAGAAGGGAAATTACATACCTTCATAAAAATCACAATTTGTTTAAGATTAAGACAAATAAGAGAACTATCGAAGTTACCTAAGTATTATATTAATAAGAAAAACGAATGACTAAAAAGAAATCTAAGAGTTCTTGAAAATAGAATATGATGTTTTGTAGCTTGGCTATTTCAAAAAACGTATATACGTATATATCTCAAAAATCTTCCAATACACTCATTGAGCAAGGTTATCATCTTTACGACAGGTTTATTTTGAGGGTTACCATTGATTGGGTAAAATCGGAGGAAAAGCTAGAGAATTATACTTAGAAGGGCAGTGAAAATCCTAGTTCTTGGCAAAATCAGTGAAACTCATGGAATGTATTTTCGGGGATTCATGGCTTCATGGCTCAATCAGAAAAACGTTTTGTACTTTCTGGATCTATACTGGTTAGAAATTCAGATACCTCGCGCGAGGAAACGAAAATGTATTAATAATAACTGGCTGAAGTTAACAGTGGAATGCAAGCAAGAGGTAGAGGCCGTTAAGAGGACAGGAAAACTCAAGGGGAAAATGAAATCTTAGCTATAAGATTTGCATGGTGGTTACACTGGTGAGTGATAAAACGACCGTCCTAAAACTCCACACAGAGTTATATTCATGTATCTAAATGTGTCGACAGTAAAGGAAGCTGTTTTCTCACCGTTTCATGTTGTATCGCTACATGAGTGGCCAGGGGTCTTGCCTGGTATGTTTCGAAGAGTTCAGTTATTTGCCACACAGACACTCCAAGTGCGGCAAGGAACAATAAAATCCAAAATATTTTTCTGATCAGCTGCCTGGAGGCGAGAATTCGAGGCGGTCCGTGGCCAGAAGTGTATTCAAAATAGTCCAGAATCAAAAACCGAATGGAATATTGTTTCTCCTCTTCTTCCTGTTCTTGAGGTTTCTTGAGATCTTCATGAGAGCTTAGCGCCTTTTCTAACTTCTTTTTACGACTTTCTATACTTTCCATCGCAAGTTCTATATCGCTGTCACTTCTGTCTCCTTTCAGCATTGCCTGTTAATAATGTAGTCTGTGAAAGCAAACTGACAAAAAAGAGGATTTTAAATTATAAAATCTTTCGCGAATTCTGGTTTGAGATGAAATGATGTACCCGATAAAGTAAAGAAACAAGGCCTCTTGTACTCGTTATAGTAAGCCAAGTTGCCAAGAATAATCGCGTAATCTTTCAAGAAGTTTCCTTTAAGTATTAGCCCGCTTGCAAAGAAAACCCAAAATATCACGAGCATTATTTTTAGATCGAATTTTGTCAATTAACAGTACAAAGTTTTTAAGCGCGCTGCATTTAATGTCGGTTGAAAATTGAAAGTTCTTCAATAAAAGAATGCGGCAAAGTGGGCACTAAGTGGACTTAAACAAATGTATTAAGAATTAAAAAAATGATAGTAATGATATATAATTAAAAAGTTCTCACAGGTTAATTAAACTGATCAAAAGTGCTTAAATTGTATTGTTATCCCGCGAGTGAAAAGGGTATAAATATGAACATTCTAAATTTTTGTTACATCATGGTTACGCGTAAAAGACTCTTATTGAACCCTCTCAGCTATTAACACAAGGGCGCAAGAAAGTACATTTTCCACTAACATTTCAATTGTCGTTCAGCTGTCAAGGTTTAGAAACAAAAAATTATAAAAGCCTGGCTGTGTTATTAAAGCCTAGCAAGCTTCAAAGCTTTGATTGCATGAATGGTTACGACAAGTTCTTCGTGCTCAATCATCGATACCTGAAAGCTTAACTACTTTACCTGAAATATCCATAATGGGGCTGATTGGAATGACATGATTTATAGAAACATTAAAGGAGTTATGTAGTTGTAAGTCAGAGAACTAAGGAAAACTGGGTTGGCTAATTCATACTGAACTTGTTTTGATAGAACAAGGGAAGAGACGCAATATCATGAGTTAAAATTAAAAAGAAACATGGTTGATATGCGGTCTACAACATCCTTTAGAAAAATCAATACTTAATTAATGATAGATAACAAAAAGTGTGGCGTATTCTCCAGCCCCGTTGCGATATTTTGTTGCAACCAGCAAAAACAAACTTTCTTGGAATTAAAGGATACCTCAGAAAAAGAGGTTTCAATTATAGCAAAATTTAGGGTGATTTAGGATGGAGCAATTAACATGGATTAAAGGGAATTGAACTATTCAATCCAACTTTTGCGTCTAGAATTCTTTAATCTGCACGGAGAGCCTAGGGTTAAAAAAAGCGATAAAATAAGTGGGAGGTTTAAGGTGAATATTTTTAGAAGGCATTAATATAATAATTATAGACAGTAACCTTGATATCAGTTAGGGTTAGAAAATTAATTTTGATTATTAAGGAGTTAGTCGTAGACTATTCCCTTAGACTCCACAGCATTGACAGCTTTGAACTTTAGCATATGTTTATCCAGGACATGTACCACAAAAGACAATAAATTCTCCATGAAAAAAAAAAATTGCTAAATCTGAAAAGAGACCTCATTAAGGTCAATATTTTTTTTCACCCAGTGATGGGATTACGTGCTCTCCCTGGAAAATCGGCTCAAATCAACTATCAACATTCATTAGTGAGAGTGCGGAGTATGGTGCACGCAGCATGGGATCCCTGTGGGCCAGTGCGGCCGCGCACGCGTACTAGGAGTCAAGCTTTTGTTTTTCCAAAGACTTGGCTTACTCACTTGCGCTTTTTTTTTGCATCATTTCTCTAGGATGTTTAGCCCCTAGGGTTTCTGGTGTTGTATATGAAATATGGATTGCGGGCATTGCACAGAAACTACTCTGTGTCACACATAAAATAGGCTTGGGCTTAACTCGTGGCAGCCTTGTCCCCAGGGCTTTATTGGAGGTTGAACTGACAGGCGGGTGTTACTTGGTCCTAAGGGGTTTTCTTCATGAGTGACGGAAGTCTGTCAATAATAACGTTAAATGCAAATGTGGCTCCCATCACGTAACGAGCCCTGAAAGTTCATTGCGTTTCCTTCCAACCAAAATAAAATATAAATCAACGAAGAATGACACAATTCCAAGAAAGCCGTGACATTTTACAGCTGAGGGCAGATGTATATCAAGAAAACGGAGTCATTCTAATTGCTCCGTTTAATCATTTAAACAAAACGGGGAGGAAATACAATTAACAAAATTTATTATTACTAAAATATTTCGCCGTTTCTGATTGGTTTTACCGGTTAATTCTTCATTACCAGCTGCTGGCGCAGACCATATTTGGAGGATGCGAGCAATATACCATTGCCCCAATGTACAATCCAATCACAACCTCTCGGTTGCCAGGCAGCCGGCCGAGGTGTAGTCTAGCGCGCTGTTTTGGCATAAGTGAACAAAAGAAGATGGCGAAAGAGTTCACGACTATCCGAAGACCAACAAGCCGACAAACTAAAATTCAACGGAAAATATGCAAGAATACGCAACAAATTTTGCTCTATAGATGACATTTAGGTTTTGAGCAGTATCTGAAAAGAAAAAAAACATCTGTTCAGGTCACGGAGGCCCGTTTTCCAAGATAACACCGGCCTCAAACTGTACAATTCTTTAAAAATACACCATACTTGGCCTCATTCAATTCAGTTGTTAATTATGAAAGTAACGTTTTGTCCTCAAGTGAAAATAATTTCCCATATTTTTCGGTTGCATTATAAATCTCTGTTATGTACAGTGTTTTTGGATTTAAAAATAAGCCGAACAATCCAACAATCATTAATAGCATATCGGATTTTTATCTCCATATTGCTCAGCATTGTACATTGTCACAGTATTGCCTGAGGTGCCATCATAACAAGTTAAAATGGCGAATAGATCAGGTTTGTAAATAATAAAATGCAAGATTGTAAATTTTGAATATTTTGGTATTCTAATAAAATGGACAAGCGAATTCATTCAAAATTCAAGCTGGGGTGATGCAGCTGTTGGAGGAGATGATAATTAATCAACAACAGTAAGCGCATATCAGACGACACGAATTAAAGCCTGGCAGGTTTTTGGCTTGAAGTAAGAGACCACTTTTAGTATTCTTTGAAAAACACATGCAAAATTACCATACCAACAGTACCAATGATATTCGGCTATATACTTCATGGTCGAAGCATAGTATTGGAAGCTCTCTCAATAAAGCTCAAGGCGGAGCCAAAAATTAAATCTCCCAGCAAATCAAAAAGAAATTGAAAAAAGAGAAGAAAATTAGGAATAGATTTTAGCTTTGACTGACAACACGTAACTGTGACAGTGTGCCGATAAAGGATCAATCCGTTCCTCAATGTTCATTACCTGCAAGCTCTCTGCGAAAATTTCCGCCTAGATTTTAGCCGTGATTCAATTAATGCAGCTACGGGACATTCCATAAGTTTTTTAAAAGAAAATTCTTAAAATCACATTTTAATTTTCATGTAGAAATTTTTCGCAAACAGCCGAAGCCGCGGGCCGAGAACCGGATGCACGCGGTCAATTGAGATTTGTCTAAAATAAGTCCTTGAAATTTCATAATAATTAAAACAAACTATCCAAGCTAAGATCTCACCTCGTATATATTGCACTAAGAAACAACGCTCAGATCTGAATAAACTCCGACATATGGTTATCTTTCTCTCATAGACTATTCCGCACATGCATGGCATATTATTTTTGAGATGTCACGCGCGACTGAAATCACGACTTCGCGCCGCGGTGATGTGACAAATGCACGTGATAAGCAAACCGTCCTTTGTCCTTTGCTCATTTCAAATTATTGAACCGGCGGTTGCTCCCGGGCGGTTGCTGTGAGCTTAAATGCGCTTGATTTTACTGTTTGTTACGATCTTACAAAAGTACACTCCAACTCTGCGGATTGTCGGAACACATAGATGTTGCTTTTATCACGAATCAAAAAATGGTTATGACTCCTCAGCGACTGTTATGTACTTTGAAAGGTTCTGGTTCAGGAGAAGAGTCCAACAGTCTAATTGTAAGTATTAAATATACAATGTTACTAAGACGCTTAGATATACGCCATATGAGAAACAAATGAAGGGTAGTAAACATTTATATAGTCGCGCCCGTACGGCAATTTTACTTTTTACAGGATTCCTTGCAGAGACTCGCTGTTTTGTATAAATGATCTCAGTCACTTGATGTCACGTCACCGGCCTCTTTCATTCTCGCGTAAATTTATTCTGTTTCGGTAAAATCGTTGGCTGAGATTGAAGTCCTGCATAAAAATTTCGCCGAGGTAAATCTTGCTTTTTCAGGGTAATTTTCGACGGTTTTGTTTTTTTATTTCATGAATTTAAATGGTATTTCCATCCTGTTTTTCAATTATTCATCCTTTTTTATCTAAAACTCTAAAGTTTCATATTTTTATACTGTTTTTGCAACATCCTATTTTGATTAAACATAAATATGTGTGCTTTGACGTTACGTGTTTTCGTTTTTTAATTTCAAATACGAGTATTTTACTAAATTTCGAAACCGATTAAACAGCTTTAAAATATATTTTGAGAATATAGTTTTTTAAAATTAAAACAAAAAATATATCAAAAATTTTTTTTGTACCTATTTTAAACCTGTTTTTTTCAAAATACGTTTAAAATTGCCATTAAAAATAGTTTTAAAATAGTATAGTAAATTAAAATATGTTTTTTGAAACTGTTTTTATCCTGTTTTTATTCCGATTTATAAGGTATTTAAAAACTGTTTTTGACCTGCTCCTCCCTGGAATTTTTTATATATAAAAGCATTTAAAATACAGGGTTAAAACACCTTAAAAGTCGAAAAATACATTAAAAATACACTTTTTACCCTATTTAAAACCCTGGATTTTTTCAAAACAGTTTTTTGGTAAGGGAGGCTGATTAAACACAAAGCTTTAACGTTACGTGCGTTTTAATTTCACACTTAGAGAATATAGTTTTTTAAATAAAGTTTTACTTTTTAAACCCTGGCCTCTGGATTGTTCAAACGTTTATGGTTGGATATGCCGTGGATTTTTTCACTTTCTTTAAAATTTCTTTTATTCAAACGGTGGATAGCGCAATTGGTTTCCCTAATACTCTCCGCTGGATAGTGAGTTATCCGGTGGAAGCACTATCCAACGTTTGACTGAACAACCGGGGCCTGGTGGACAAGACCTTTGAAAGTCTAATGTTAGATTACTTTGATTGGTGTTGTGGCCGCTATTTACGAAATAAAAATGACAATACTGAATGGTCAGAATGACGATTATTAAAGCAGAGGGTCATCGGGGCGTTAAGAATCCTGCCAGTACATAGTTGAATCAAATTTGATTTCTTAGAGTCCTCTTAGCGCGAGATGATAAAGCACATTAATGAGACTGTATTCGTCTTTGAGTTGGATGAATAATAACGTATCAGTAATAGGCCCACATGTGATTCCTACTTACGGGCATCAACTACACCTCGACTAAAGCAATCGTTAAATCCTTACTCATGCTCATTATATTTCACATTAATGCACATTCATATCACCTCACATATGCTTCATGTTGTAAATGAATGAAAACATGTGAAATTTTCGACAGGTGGTGAATTCGCTGCTTCGGCTAACAGGTGCTGTAATAAAAGTCCTAAGTTTACGGCGTGTAATAATACTAAGTCCTTACCTTATGAAGTCAAGTCCTTGCTGGCTAGTAGCTTCTTATAATTCACGTTAAAATAAATAAACAACAACGATTTCACTTGCTCAAACAGAATCTTCAATAAAGAACCACCCTTAGTGGTCTTTCTAGCGACTGGTGGACAATGAGGGCACGTTTTGTTCGTGAGCATCAGCCACACAACGTTTGATGGGGCGATTTACGCATGACGCCAAAAGGTTCAACTGAAATCACCTATGCATGGCAGGGTCAATTGTTGTCAGTGAATAAATCTCTGTATGTAAATTATAAAAATAAAACGTAAGGGAAATAGGACAAACAGCAGTCATGTACGGTTTATTCGCGTTTATTTGTGAGGTGTTAACATTATATAATGATCCACTAGTAAACAGCTTTTCTCTCCTTGGCAACAGGCATTAGGAAGGATTATCACGGCCCGTGACTTGATTCAGTTATGGCTTAGAATAAATCAGTCCAAAACTGTGAGCACGCAACGTCCCTTTTTCCTTGTCTAATCACTACCAAGCGAGCACTAGCTATCCATAAGACTCAATTAATATACAAATATCTATCTTTTGTAAACTTAGTATGTAACTTTTCGTTGATTGTCTATTTAGCCTCCCATATTTGGCGGACTCTAATAGCTTACATGACAGTGGCCAACTACTTAGATTGTCTTTTCTTTTACGTGTCCTTATAGTAGATGCAAGTAATTATGTCCACGAATGTTAATATTATTTTCCTGTGTAAAAATAAAGTTGAAGTTGATGTTTTTTGCCTTTTGAGCGGTGGACTATCAGACTGCTTTCGTTGTTGTCTTTGGAACGGTCATGCCATCGTAGCTAAAGAATGACGTCAGAGTGGCAGCTTACGTGACAACGCCCTGTACGTCCCAAACATTATTGACCCTCAACCTCAAACCATAATCACGTTCTTAAGGCCATGTTCACACTATACTAGATAGATTTTGTGCCGGCAGGAAAATCATTTATTGTGCACCGATCTACGGTACATATATATATTAAAAGCCACCCAAAATAAACATTGTTTTTGATGTTATTTTTTATTCAGATTTTTAATGGTTAAACATCACGTTAATCTAGTATGCTTAAGTGAATATCACTAAACACTGACTAAAGTGGGAAAAGAAAAGACTGACAAATATCAATAAGCCATTTCCGAGTTCGCCCGGGCCTCTGTATCAAAACGAGGGTAAGTGCTCAGCGTTTGATATGGAAATGATTTTTCATTCTCATAAAACTCATTTTTACAAGAAAGGTTGCGCACATGGCCTCATTTTGAAAGTGAGGGTTTTTGGAACTCGGAAGTGGCCTATTCCATTGCAAGGAACTAAACTATTAAGGTGGCTTGCTACAGTTTTCCGGGCGGGTCTCGAAGTGCATGACACTGTACGACATTGAAATTGACAGAAAGTATAGTTTTAACATCAACTCTTAAAGCAAATTCAGGTGCCAGAAGTTCCTATCAGTCAAGTTGACCAGTCAGTGTGTATATATGGTTAACCGAGCAGTCTTCATGTATATGTTCTTCAGTAAACACGTCCTATGTAATAAATATTGAAAGGAACTCCTGTCAATTTTGGGAAAGAAACAGCAGCACAAGTTAAAGGAAAACTGATTTGCTACTGTAACAGTGAACAGATATATACTGTATGAGTGAATCATTTCATAGCTGCTACTTTAGACACGCTCTTCATGCTCTTGTTCTGTGTATTGGCGCGATCTTTTATCAAATTTATCGATAACAATGTGAAATAGCAACGCTACCAGTTCCAGGAACTCAGCCACAGTAAGCACAGAAAAGCCAATCCAAAGCCCCAGCTGACCACCAATGTCGGACACGAAATCCACTCTCTGAGAAATCAACAAAACGAATTATGGAAACGGGAACTTGAGGTTGTTTTCTGTTTATTTCTGTTTTGAAATTTTGGTTCAGTGGTGAACTGAATAAAAAAAGCTAACTGAATTATCTAGTGTGTGGAATGACATAAAAGGCCTGCAGCGCCGCTACGGAAATTTGCTGCAAGTTGCCGTTGTGTCCGGCCTTTTATTCTATTAACCCCTTAACTTTTCGTTTTTGTATTGGTGAAGTTTAGTTAAATAGTAAAATAAAATCATAAAATCAGCTCTTTACTAACGGTGCGACTTTGTTGGTGAAAACGGTTCCATTCCACTATAGCTGAAACAATCTGAGCAGACCTCTTTGGTATTCCGCTCCAGTGAAAGGCAAGAAAATGAAACGAGACGGGCCGGGCTTGGGTTTATTTCATACACAGGACCGTGCTGTGTCACCAACGTATCAACTCAGTTTCTTTGTTTTGAAGAATGCAGAAATGGCCCATTTTTTGTAGGTTCTCTTGAATTTTTCCTCACAAAACTGTTCCCAAGTATGGTTGCTGCAGCCAGAGAAAGACCTCTTGGAAACCACGTTGATCAAAACCTTACGAAGAGGTTTTTTAACGGCGCTTGCATTTTTTCCCACTTGTTCTTTGCCGTCACTGTAGCCTGCATAGCAGGGGCCGAAAGCCAAGGGGAAAGATGGAAAATGGAAGAAGGAATCGGAGAGAGAAGGAAAGAGACTCCTCTCCTTGTCCCTTTCGCGTTCCTCTCAAAGTCAAAGACTTCTAATAACTATATGGATGATCTGCAAAGTTAACTAATTGGTACCTCGTAAGATCTCTGCTCCTTTATCACCTCTAAGTTCAACTCTTCGTAGAACACTTGCACTTTGCAAATATTCCCTCTGTAGAATTAAAAACAGCTGATTAGCATTTACAGGGCATGTTGAGTTGTTTTTATTGTTGAAGTTTTTTTTTGCATTACATGTTTGTTGGAGTTGTTTGTTGCACGTAAAATATTGCAGTTATACTTTGTCGAAGCCTGCGAGAACAGCCGCCTCGCATAACGTCGGAGATAGATGAGAGGCGCATGTATTTTTAGACTACAATTCTTGACACTACTATTATTGGGCTTGTTGTATTTCCCTGGTGTTCTGAGCGTTGTTGTAGTTGTTGCTGCTATAGTCACTCATATAATTTTTGTCGTTGTTGTTGTTTACGGTTTTTGTCAAACAAACACAATACAAGAAATTGCATGGGAACCTGTTTGTAACACAAAACCTTACCTGAGATTTCCCTCTTCGGTGCGTGAATATTTGTCAACATAGAGTAGCTGTGAAACGTTAAACAGAAGTACAGAGGTAAAGACACAAATGTATGCATCATAATGTTGGTATCCTAGATTTATTTGTACCAGAGCTAATTAATGAGGTAGCTAGTTCATTTACCTCGTGTTCCTTTGATGGCCAAATAGCAAACGAAGAGCTTCTCTTGAACCCCTCCTCACTAAAAAAAAGAAAAATCGTGGCAAATGCTAGCTTCTGATTAAGTACAATATAGCTTATAAATATTTTAATACGGTATAATCTCTATTTATAAAAGTAATTAAACCCCACGTCCTTGTTTGCCTCAAATTCAAAAAAGACTTAGGCCGTGTGTGGACAAAATGGCATTCAGCTCAATGTTTAGAACAAGTATTGCTGTCAGTAGACAGGACCTTCAAAAGTTGAATTATCGTTTATTTGAAAATAACTGAAAAAGGTTTGCCACTGCGTTTAACTTATTTCACAGTTGAAAAAAAGACGATTCTTTCACTAACCTACATGGTGGTGGACATGACCTGGTACAATTTAATTTGTTTTCTTTGAACTTCGTCTGGACAGCGCTAAGGCACCTCGCTGTTAATAAAAAAAAGACACTAAAATTAGAACCCGTTTATGTGGAGAAAACCTTTCCCAAGCTCAAGCTCAAATTTAGCGAACGTTTATATGAGACAAACTAAAGACCCTCAGTTCAAGTGTCCTCTTTAGTTTGCCTGAGCAATTAGCTCGCCCCATGGAATCCAACACAGTCTTAAATTCTGGATTCCAGACCGTGGATTCTAGATTCCAAGTTCTGGACTTCGAATTATTTCAAGTAGAACTTGGATTCCGGATTGCAATCGTTAGTAGATTCCAGACTCCAAAGCCCAGGATTCCGGATTCAGCAAAAAAAATTGCGGACTCCAGATTCCACAGGCAAAACTTTCCTGGATTCCAGAATCCGGATTCCCTATATTGGGCGAATCATCAGTTGACCCTGCTGGATGAGACAAAGTGGCTGGGCTAAGAGAGTGACCCTACCCGATTCAAAAAAAGGGTGAGCCGGCTAAGCGGATCACCCCCCTAGTCGTGTCAACTTTTTGTTTCTCCTGTAAACAGTTCGCAGCGTTCTGTAAGAAAATGTATATAAACGAGGCCTTACTGTTAAATGGCAGCTAAATGAATTTATATATTAAGAAAAAAATTTGTTGGTTAAGTCTGCTTACTAGTCTGTAAATCTGATACATTGCAGATGCCTTTGTCATTTCCAGGAAAGCGATACTCCATACATCCGCATTGTTGGCGCTGATTGTATGCTAGGCAAGATTCTTTGCAAGCCTGACAAATAATCATATATTTACACCTTGTTTAAAAGAGAAATCAGAAGATTAACTAAATATGCCGCCAGTAACTTGATACTAGATTTGAGTGAAGCCTTCAGTTAATAAGCTATCTCCAAATATAAGTTTCGTTACTTGGGAGGAACATGTTCGAAACTGACCGTGGACTGGCTAGCATGCGTACCTGGCAACCTGGTGCATTGTTTGGCGAGAATGAACAAAAATCTGTGAAAATGAGCGCAAAGCCCGTGCGAAAGAGGGAGGGAAGGAGAAGAAGGAGAAAAAAAACACGGTTCCTTGTCCTTTTGTTCTCCTAGCGGCTACGCCGCTCATTTGCCCGCACAACAAACAAAACTGTAAGCGACACAGGCTACCGACCAGCCCGATGTTTTAGTAGCCTAGCTATGACGGGTGGAGGAAAGGGGATAGTTTGGCGTGGTTAAGCCTGCAAAGGGCTAGGGAGGAAGGAGGGAGCGCCCTTCGAGTTTGCAAACGTCCTGTTTTATTTTATTACGGCTAACATGACTGAGTTAGTCATTTATTCATTTTATATTTATTCATATTAACTATGGCTATTAATCAATAACATCACGACTACTGCAATTAAAGATCAGTTTTACAAATAAACAGTCACAAAAAATGCAGTCAGAAGTGATATTGGGGGTTTATCGTACCGTTGCGGAGTACACTGCCCCAAAGTGTTTTGTGTATAAGTTAGAGTCATCTCTGTAAACGTCTTTCAAACATCGCCTCCTCTCGAACGGATCCTCTCGGATGATTTTCTCCTAAAATAAATAAAAAAAGAAGGGCATGTCTATACCCACCCCCCACAACTCTTTACCATTGTATTACGCGGGCGTTATCGTGTTGTCCAATTAAATAATCTTAACGTCAAGTAAAAATGGTCGGGACCAAGAAACAAGATTATTCTCTTTTATCGGGACCTAAAAGGAACGAAATTACTGAGACTCTGTCAAACATTTCGCCTTATGTAAGTGAATCCAAGACAGATACTGGACTACATACCGTCATCTTTGTCAGTGGACCGTGGATCTTGGATTCCGGATTCCAATCGTTACTCGTTAGTGAGATTCCGGATACCTTGAGCAGTATTTCCGATTCAGAAACTCAGGTTTCCGGATTCCACAAGCAAACGATTTCACGGATTGCGGATTCTGGATCATTCCTTTATATGGTGCGAAAAAATGCTGATAAAGCAAGTCATCATTGAGCAAATCAAACTATTGACTAATGAGGCCCTAGATTATGGTGGTACAAGGATCACCACGGGTGATGATTGCTAATTGCTATAGAGAACACGCCCTTTTTGGGCCAGATCGCTCCACTTAGCTTTGAGCAAGACATCGTTTATTTCCTTGATCTCATTCAGGGAACGAACGCCCTCTCGATTTTTATAGTCAATCTCTAGCGTTCAGTTGTTTCCACTCTCAGTCATGTCGCAAAAATCCAAGCAGAAATCCAGGTCCAAACCCCAACTGGAAGATTACGGTTTTCCACCGTCGCCGCAAACTCAGCTATTCGAGCATTACTCTCAATTCCGCGACGACGAACCAGCCCTTGGGCCTGTCTTCGGGCATCCTTCGCCTTCAGAAAGAAAACAACAACTTTTGGATAAAGAATTAGAGCTGGTGAAGCAGGAAAAAGAAAAGTTGGCGTTAGAACTGGAAGTGCTCCGTTTACGCCAAGTTCTCGGACCAGCAACGCCTCCAACTACATCGGCAGCGCCATGTGCGACTGGAAAGTCTGACACAAAGAAAACAATCGTCGACTGGCCGCAGGACTTTGTTCCAGGTACGTCAATAAATCCTGAGCTCAATTCCTTAAATTTACCATCTTTTGTTGCAGGTTATTTGGCGATGATTCGAACCTATGATACGGCATCGACCGCGCACATGCTCGCCATACTAGAAGTTCTTATGGCCAAAGCCATTAGTTACACATGGGCGAGCGTTCGAGGTTTCTATTCCTATTTGGCAAGGCAAGTCGAACTGCGTAGATTGGATTGGGATCGCGTTACTGAAATTCGGGACATGGCGTCCACCTTTTTCAAGCATTCGGATTTACGCTCGACCCATTCCAGGAATCTGAATTCATCTGCTTCTTCTTCGCCTTCTTCTGGATCTTCTTCACAAGAACTCACAGCTGAAGGTTGCCAAGCGTGGAATTACAAGGGTTCTTGTTGCTGTGATTCCACTGCTAGTAACTACGCCTCACATCATTTGTGCCGAGTTTGCAAGTCAAGCGAGCTCCCTATGCTACACTGTCCCAAGCAGAAAATGCGAATTCCCAACCAGCAATGACTGGACAGTCAGACTATTGGCTTAACAGTATATACGGATTATGACACGGACTCGGACACGGACACGAAAACGGAACACCATATGTTATCGCAACATGAATTTTTCTCAGCCAATTCATCGCGCGCGGTTGTCGCTGATGTTCTCGCCTCGAAGTGTCCGCAACCGAATGCCTGCGGAGCCAAAATACCCGTTTCTTCGCAACTGAACATTTTTGTTTGGAGACATTATTTGTCAGATTATGTCGACCACGTCGTTGTTGATTTCTTGCAATTCGGTTGGCCTATAAATTATACGTCCAGTGCTTTGCCTCAGCCTACTCACACCAATCATCAGTCAGCTCTTGCCTATCCCGAGGATGTCCAACATTATTTATCAACTGAATTGAGCTTCGGAGCTCTTGCTGGGCCCTTTAAAGAGAATCCTTTATCGGACGACCTTATCACGTCCCCTTTACAGACAGTCTACAAACGTGGTTCTTCTAAGCGCCGGGTTGTGATGGATCTTAGTTTCCCGCATGCAGCCTCTGTCAACAGCGGTATTCCGAAAACTCATTATTTGGACAATGCATTTCAACTTCGTCTTCCAGGCATAGACAGACTGCGTGAGTTCATTATCAGCAAAGGCTCAGGTTGTTACGTTTACAAGAAAGATCTAAAACGTGCGTACCGGCAATTCCCAATTGACCCCAAAGATTATAAATATCTCGGTTTTATGTGGGATGCTCTTTTGTATTTCGATACTAGATGCCCATTCGGTGTGCGTTAATCAGCGTTAGTGTGTCAGCGAACTACTCGGGCGGTAATTCATGTTTTTTGGTTGACCTTTTTACCACACTTCAATGGCTCCGCCATAATTGCGTTACCCCCGCGTGACTTTCATGACGTGCTATTTACCTGTGATTCTTCTTTTTATCGAGGCGGTGCTACGTGTTTCGACGAATGTACCTCGTTCGCTTTTCCCAGGGACATTGAAGAATTGGCCTTGCACATCAATGCGTTAGAACTGTTTGTACTTGTCATGGCTGTTAAGATTTGGGCCCCCAAGTTGGCAGGTTCTAGATTCCAGATTTCGTGTGACAATGATGCGGCCGTCCAGGTGGTGCGCTCAGGTCGTACACGTGATGCCTTCATGCAGCGTTGCTTAAGACAACTTTGGCTCACATCAGCCCGTTATGATTTAGACTTACGTGTCTCTCATATTCCGGGGGTCCACAATGTCTTTGCCGATTGCCTTAGTGGCTGGGATGCCGATTCTACTTTTCAAAGAAAGTTCCATGAACTCGCTTCTCAGCGTAACCTTTGTTTTCACATGTTAGCCATTGACAGCGAGAATTTAACCTTTGACCTTTCTTAATGGGTGCTTTGTGCCTTTGTTGCAGATCGTCGCAGGCCAGTTCAACCATCACCAGATATTCGAGCATTGGATTCTCTCGGACGCGACTTGATCGAAAGAGCATACGCAGATTCAACCCAGAGGAACTTGAACTTGACATTTTGTGAGGCGGTTTCGTCCGCTCCGTTTCCAGTGACTGTACCTAGCTTATTTGGTGTCACTCGGCCGCGTTTATGGTACTATCCTGAATCATTTAAGTAGCATTAAGCATATGCATAAGTTTCTCGGTCATGATTTGACTTGGGATAGTGATTATCGTTATAAATTGTTGTTACGCGGAGTTAAGCGTTATTTAGGAACAGCAGTTCAGCGCAAGGCTCCAATCACTCCACGATTGTTATTACGCATTGTACACCTTTTCGATTTTGATCAGCCTTTGCATGTCGCTATGTGGGCGCTTTTTCTAGTAGCTTTTTACTCCTTTTTACGCAAGTCGAATTTAGTTGTTGATCGCACGGCGCAAGTCTCGCCTAAGGTCCTTTTGCGGTCAGATCTTTACTTTGATGCATCGTTCGCTTATCTCACAGTTCGCGCGTCTAAAACTATTCATTTTCAGGAACGCCTTTTTTCTTTACCCTTGCCGCGCATTCCGGGTAGTTTGTTGTGCCCTGTAGCCGCTTTGGTTAACTACCTTCGGATTAACCAGGTACCCCAGGACATGCCATTATTCTCGGTTAGGTCCGATAGTTCATTGTGTCATATTACCTATACGCTAAAGTACCATCTGAGTTAATTAAGGCACAGCGTGACTGGCGTAGTGACTGTTATTTAATTTATCTCGAAATGACCAATCGACAAAAGAGGGCGACTGCTACTCGCATGGCTGCCGCTATTTCACATATTGCTGTTTAGTTTAATCTTCCATTTCTTCAAGTTACTGTTAATTAATTTCTCTAATTATAAAAATCACTCTCAACCACATACTACCATGTTTGGGCCTTGGCGGTTTTGTTCATTGTCCTCTCGCCATCGTCTCGTTCTGCTAGTCAATAAACTGTTTCACCCAAACATTGTAGTCTGTGTTTGATATTACAAGTAATTGTACAATGATCACCACGGGTGATGATTGCTAATTGCTATACAGAACACGCCCTTTTCGGGCCAGCCTTCCGCGGGTTTAGTGTATCGGCTTTCAGATCGCTCCACGTTAGCTTTACGCAAGACATCGTTTAAGCGCCCACGCCACCCTTGGCGGTTTTGTTCATTGACCTTTCGCCAGCGTCTCGTTCTGCTAGTCAATAAACTGTTTTGCCCAAACATTGTAGTCTGTGTTTGATATTACAAGTAATTAATCAATTATTGACTGTTAGTGCTTTTCAATAGATATAAGTTATCTTTTTAATCATGAGGAGAGGCATTACCAGGGGACTGCCGAAGTAATTGCCTGGAGTAAAAGACAAAGGTGACTTTGGATTAGCCTGCTGTGTTATCATGTTATCAGCAAGTTAGCATTTCTCAGTTCCCAACAAGACTTTGAGCCAATAATCTGGCCACGTTGGTCGCAATTAAGATGGGCAAAACGTCCAGTTTCTTACCTTCCTCAGTCCGATCATTGTCGCGTATCCTGGTGAGAGACTGATTCCCCGCTCCAGTGGAAATGGCATTTCCCCCTGAGTAGAAATGTCCATTCTGATACCAGCTTCTGGTGTCATAAGACCAATGTATTCCTCTTGCTCAACATTAAGCTCTAAGGTAAGTCCTGTATATGAAATGGAAATGGCTATAATAAATTTAAAATGACTTGCTATATACAGGGACCTCTATTCAAAGGACACCCTCGGGACCGAGGCTAGTGTCCCTTGAATAGAGGTGTCTCCTGCATGAGGTTGGGCTGCGGTTTGTTAATAATAAAGCAACAAAGACAACATAAAGAAGTCCTCTTTAACTTATTTGTTGAATTCAAACGAGTGCAGTACATTGGTTTGAGTGAGATAATTCAGTTTGTGAAAGCTTCCATAATTGTGATTAGTGTACACTTAAAGATATCAACCCTTTTTGTTGAGTGCTAAGTTGACCTAAGTTGTCCCCTGAATAGAGGTGTCCCTTCAATAGAGGTAATAGGTACAAAGATTATGTGGGCGTTTTTCCAGGACCAAATGTTTTGTCCCCTGAATGAAGGTGTCCTTGAATACAGGTGTTTTAAAGGAGAGGTTCCACTGTAATTTAATTTAGCGAGTCAGTTCACGTTAGTCTGAACTGCAAGAGGAGGCATCGATATGATCATAACTTTAAAGTTTTATTTTCAAATCAAGTACTAGACTTATGATCCCAAGAGGGTTAAAGATCCAACGATTAGAAATCAAGATTAACTTCCTTGTAGTAAATGATGCCCTTTCAGTAGTTTCCTTTCGGTTGACAAAAACTTGAGTTTTGGTTAGAAGGTCTGTAGTTATGGAACGGTATCCAAATTTTCCAAAACGTTTTCAAATAGGAATCTACGTTTCGACACTTCGATTTCATTATCCGCATTTCCAACAAAGAAACGCACATTATCACCAACATCATCATCATTATCATCATCATCATCATCATCACCAGCATCATCATCATTATCATCATCATCATCATCAGCAGCAGCAATTTCAAAATAATTTAATGTAAAATCTCATATCACCATACCATGAGATGGTCCGGGCTTGTTGGATTTGAAGATTGGTGCTGCTTTTCCACTGTTAAATATGAAGCAGTTGCCGTACTTGTAGTGCCAATACTTAATCCAGAACTTTGATGACTCATTACTGAAATAAGCAAGATATGATAACAAAGAAAATTCTAGTCGAGGTGTCGTTGTGTGTGTTTTTTTAAATCTATATCTCGACCATGAAACGTATAGATTTGTCCATTTCTTTGTAACGGTTAAGAAGTAAATTATAAATGCGTAAACGGGAGCATCTCTTTTAGCTCTGGCTATTAAGCTATATATTAGTTACAGCAGTATCATTCTAGGCTTACCTGCATGAAACGCCTCTGTAAGTACATGATAACACCATATCCTCAAAATGATGACCCAGCTTAGAGAGAACTTGTTTATCCTCTCTAGCCATAAGTACGGCTATCTCTTCTCTTCTTAAGAAACTTGGGTCTAGCTCAGCAGGATCCTCAAAAAAATCCTCATGTTCGTCGTCATCGATGTCTTCACCATCTTCGTCGTTAGGCCAGTAATAATACCAGTCCTCAGTAGTGCTCTCAAGAGTAGGCAAAGAAGTGGTGACGGGGTAACTGAGGTCTTTTGATCTTCGTCTCCTGTCACTGAATGATTTGTTTTGTGCTTCTGAGTCAGAGGAATTTTCTAGGAGCCAAGTAGATAATGAAATGAATGAAAAAAGTCAACAAAGCATTTCCCGGGGGCCTGAATAATTTAGCCCCACTCTCACAGGGAAAACGTATCAAATAAGCCAGTTGTCTGTAACCTGCGGTCAGGCGTTTCCTTTTGTCGGGAAAGGGATCGAGCTCGGAAGTCGGAAGAACTAATGATTTTGGCTGAGGAATCAAGCACGCCGTGAAGTTATACTAAACTGGATCTCTTCGAACAAAAACAATGGCGCATATTAAGTTTTTTATTATTATTACAGTTTCGTGAAGATGAAATTCCTTGATAGCCCTCACTGCCCTAATCATGCAATATGCGGATGATGATTTTGTCATCAATTCTATGACTGACTGTATCATCAGAGATATTCGAAACTCGATGATTATGTTACATGACGATAAAACAAAATTTTTTGTTCTAGGTAATAGGTAGCAGCTGGCAAAGGTTAACATCGAGTATTGGGGTTGGGTCGACTGATGTATGTCCTGTAATGGTAGCTAGAAACCTAAGCTCATCATGTTCGATGAGCAGCTCTTTATGTCAACTCATATTACCAAGTTATGCGGTGTCGGCCTTCAGTACCATTTTCACAATATCAAACGCACTCGCAAGTATTGTCTCAAGAATCGACGGAAATGTTTGTCCATGCATGTACATCTCGTCTTGATTATTGGCTCACTCGTGTGAGATACTTTCAGCACTCGAAGATAAAATTCGTATCCCCGCCCGGCCATGTAATATCCTCTATTTATTAATATTTAACTCGTCTTTATATAACCTTAGATTACGTTGGGTGACAGAGCTTTCATCAGGTAGCAGCGCCCACGCTCACAGTGGAACTCTTTTCAAAAGAACTTCGTGCGATTACTACTGTCAACAGTTTTAAGGCGCATCTTAAGACATCTTTTGAGAACTGTATATCGGTGATAAATTATTACTTCTTTTGTCTGTTTCTTGTAGTTTAATGCGCAGCTGATCATTCTTCAAATGTTACGTTGCGTACAACTTAAAAATTTAAAAATAACCGGATACGTGTGGCCGGACAGGGCCTTAGACGTGTATTTGGACCGAAACGTTCTTCCTATCGACCCCAACTGGCTCGAAATTGGAAAAAATGAACCCTTCGTCCGATCTCAGTGCAGTCACTATGCGCGGCGGTTACCTGTATAAATTTTTTAAAATGACTGAACAGCATAAATGTTAATGTCAGGACAGAATATGAAAGGATAAGTCGTTTCCTTTAATATTGTGACGGATAAAGAAATCTCATTTTATTGACTTTTATCTATACATACCATATTCCAACAATTGCTTGAAAAATGTTTCCATTTCACTGTATTGATCCATGGCAAGATGAAGCGACTCTTTCCTAAAGGCATTGAAGTTGCAGAATGTAACGGTTGGAAATGGAAGATTCTGCAGTCAAGTTAAAAAGAAAAAAAAAAAATTTTCTTTTATCATAACACATGTAAATGAGGCTTGAAACAACTTTTCTTAATTAACAAAGGTTTAACTATCGGCTTAATGAATGAGCTGGTTGTCAATTCATGTAAGTTAATTGAGCAACTTTTTCCCCCAAAAATCGTCCAGATTTTTCCCAAACATTTCATAAAGGGTTTAATCTGAGTTTTGTCACTTGCTTTTTTTAAAATCAGTTTTTTAAAACCAAATAAGACAACGAAACTTTCAAAATGAAAGTAAACATTACTATAATTCTGAAGAGGAGAGTCTGAAGGAAAGTCTTGGCGGAGGAAATTTGTCTCAGTGTATCGGCCTTAAAAAGAAATCATTTTGCTGACCTCGGACACCTTCTGATCTGTAACCTTTTTCACAGACAAGACCTTTTTTCAATAGTTGGTTTTTATTTCATCTGCGGGCACAGTAGTATTGTTGGTTTGTAAGAAAGATATTAGAACTGAAGAAAACTGCTAGCATGAAACTACGGCCAGGGAGCCACTTTAAGCCCCAAACTAGCTAAAACTGGATCAAGATCCGTACTATCTTTGAAATGCATGATAAAGCTACAATTATTATAGCTTTTTTGCCAGTTTGAACCAGTAACGTTTACTGCCTTTTACCCTTTACCAAGAGCCTTCACTGATATCCCAACGAAAAGTTTATGAATATTTAATTTACCAAGTAAACAGCACCCCTATTTGAATAAGAATTGACCAAATTCAGCGAGGATCAAGAACGGTGAAATGGCAGCTATGCGTACCGTAGCCGTTTCAATCTCAACCAATGTGGTGAGTGGTCTTGATTGGTACTTTTTATACAGCATGTGTAGTTGTACCGTTGTCATGGTTACTGCAGCCACACAAAGCAAAATCCAGAATATTGTGCGGATCCAGTGCCGGGATGCGTTTATCCTCCCAAAACCATGCGCAGAAGTGTAATCACAAAAATCTCTGATGAGCGACCAGAAGCTTGGAGTAGCTTCTTTACGTTCAGCGTATGTTGCTAGCGCTAGTTTTTCTGGACTAAATTTGTCTCGTAGTTCCATCTCTACTGAAGTCTGACGAAGTTCATTGTTCTGCCGATACTACACTACCTGTTAATCAAGAAAAAAGTAAACGTGTATTTCATCGTACTAAATCGTCTCGTACATTAGGTAGGTTCGCACTAGACCCTAAAGTGCAGTTAAAGTGCACGTCTCCAAGCAGAGTGAACTTTATACGACTTGGAACCTGGAATCCACGGGATGGAATCCAGAATCCAAGACTGTCTCGAATTCCCTTCGGCGCGAAATATGGATAACTTTGTGTTGCGCTGGACACAAACGCTCTGTCTGTTTGGTGTCTGCATTAAAAGCGTTTGATTGTGCATCGCTGGCTTTCAATTTGGTCAAATTCAATTTATAAATTTTTCAATGTATAGTTTTTAATCTCGCCGACTGGTTAGGTTTGTCTTTTGGTCAACTTGATTGATCAGCGAGATGTGCGTTTTAGTCTCCGATGATCTGAAGCCAAATATGTCTACAGTTTACATAAAAATGTTAAGTTAAATGTTTAAACTAGTGGTTAGTTGAGGGTATATGTAGAGGCTAACCCGATCTACTAAGAAGCTAGTAAACAGCACCTGCGATGCGACAAACTAGGGAGTCCTGTGAATCTATCACTGACTGAAGCTAGGCGGGTGCTTCATATACTATGTTGAGAATGATGTTTTTTTCAGTCACTGACACAGCTGACTCGGAAAAAAATCGCTTTCTTGCCACAGCAGTCGAACCTATGACCATCCAGTTACACTTTGAGATGCTCTACAACAGAGCTGTAAGAATTAAACTCCTGCGTGCATGGACTGCGGCCTTAAACGTACGTCAGTTCAAACTTAATTACTTCTTTTCTTGTGAGGCACGCACTTTCCACAAATTTACTTGATGATGAACTTGAATTGAGTCTCGAGTACCCGCTGGTTTTCTTAGAAGGCAAATGAAAGACGCATTAACGTGAAGTGTTACGGTTCATTAAAGTTGCAATACATTAATTATTTAAATATGTGCTTTCAACTGATGATAATAAACTCAATAATTTCTCACTGAAAAAACTGACTATTCATTCTTTCCCTTGCAATAGTCTAAATGGCCATGAAGATTGATTCATATTCAAATTAAACCTGCCCGGTCCTTATATTAGGCGCGAAATACATTGACTTACGAACCATTCATTATTAACACGTTTAAAACTGAGGCTAAAAAAAAAGGAATTAATTCACATCGGGAGGATCGTCTTCACTGCATGCCGAACAATGGGCATGCAGTCTTTCTTTTGAAATTTGCGGTTTTAGGCTTTTTTTGTGATCGTTTGGTTTTTAATCTTATGAAATATAAGGCATGTCTTTCGGGCTTCCATATAGTTCTTCGTATTTTCCGCGGTTTTCGATTGGTTTTTTGATTGCCATTGAATATAGGAACAATTTTTAGCAAGGCGGTGAATCCGGCAACTTGAAGAAGAAGCCCGTAATTCTCTCACTAGTAAATAATAATGGAATGCAGTCATGAATATTTTTTTATTATTATATACATTACTTTCGCTCAGCTAATGTTGATTTCGGTTCCATGGTTTTGTTTGGCACCTCCGACCATCTAATGGAATCATGCAGATGTCGTCTAATCCGTTGGAACAGATGGTAACATTCACATAATACAAAGATAGACAGCAGGATTTTTGCAACATATATGCGGGACCCAGCAAAATTCAGACTAACACATTACCTACACAAACCTACAGCGTCAAGCAGGAAAGGGCACTTTCATTCAGTGAAACACTAATATTGGAGTAATTTTTTATGCTTTACTGTTGTCAGGTCGTAGGTGTGAATTATGACTCAATTATGGATGTGCAACTGATCACTTTTGTGATGTACTAACTTTCAAGAGAAGTTATTTTTATTATAAGATGTATAGGTATAACAGTTCAATAGTTTACTAAAAAGAAAACCGTTATTGAAATTAGGCGGTCAGTCAAATATACTTATTTTACTAATAAAATGGCAGAGAGTTAAAAGAAGTTATTGAATAATTATACATTTCAATTATCTTCACGAAATATTACGATGTTTATGATCATTAGGCAGACATCCATTGAATTAAAATCTGCCTGTCTTAAATTATTCCCATGAACCTATTTCATTTTGGACTTGAATGGCCGGGCTAAAGTATTAAATACTTTGTGTCCTTTAGTGTCCCTCACTTAGTGGGAAACCACTAACACTAAAATGTTTTGACTCTTAAAAATTGTTATCTATTTCTTTCTATCTACTTGGCTTGCCTATATTTATTAGGCCTATAAATTACTGTAGACAGTGGAGCAGTGAATTAAACTCGTTCATGAAGTGGCAGGTTAAAAAATGGACACAATTTTCTCGGGATCAACTCATTGACAAGCTAAGTGTCAGTAACAAAATACACAAATTCGTGAGGGCTAAGAAACTTGAGGGGTCATATGAGCTGAAGAAAATAGGGACCTCTGCAAGGGCAAGTCATTTTGTGGGCGCTTATTTGAGCAACGTTATTAAATTGTCCAAGACAAACGTGACAACTCTTTTGGGTGCAAATTCCGCGTACCCTCAGCGTAAGACAGAGTGAGATCTGGGTACGAGATTAATTCGAGACCGATGAAATGAGTCCCCAAGGTACAGTCAAGCTTTGTTGGTATCATGACACCAATAAAAAACTTAAGTAAGACTCTCTTGGTTGTAAAGCAGTTTGAAACTATTTGGTATGGGTTTCCCACGGCCCAACCAGGGACATGGCCGTAATTCGGTGGCGGCGTAGGTAGGTTAGAAAACACCATCTTCGCGTCCAGAACCGGGCGAGCGGGGTATTCACTCTTCTCTCTTCTACAGTTAAAAGCCGCATAATTACCTTTGGCAGGAATGCAGAGTGTATTTTGCCAGGGTTTTTGCATCGAAGCGAAGTGAAACTATATAAATATAGAACTGGTACAGTTAAAATCCTTATGTCGCAACCGGCCTAAAAGTGCAGTAGCTACTGACAGCAGAATCCCGATTTCTTGAATACTTCGTTTCTCGTAATTTCCGAAACCAAATTCTGTAATCTTACCTCCGATTTTCAAAAACCTCCCGATAAATTTGAATTTTTCTGTACCTAAATATTCGGCTATCCCAATGCACGATATCTCCTATAATCGTGGGCTCTTCACTCTTATTATAACAGATTTTCTGCTCAGTTAATTTTCATGTCCTGAGATCTAGACTCAATCAGCTATTAATATTTTTCCCTAGAAGTGGTGTAAGAATTTGGAACAAAATTCCTCTTGCGTTACATGGACAGCACAAAGACCCTTTCAAGCGTAAATTACATAAATTACTGATCAGGGTTTTGGAGACTGAGGAATTGTATGTTGATTTGAGAGCCATTAGCAGTTCAAGCCCACCTAAACCCCTTATTCAGTTAAAGTGTTCTCCTTCCTTATATCCATAGTTATATTTAATATCGTACTTGTTCAGTATTTCCAGCTGTCAGTACCCGGTTTTATATATATATATATATTTTTTATGCCATTTTGTTTTTTCTTTCTCTATATATACTTTCCTTTAGCTTGAATGTCGTGCTTATTGTTGGTTTGTAAAATCAGGATTCTACTGTAGATACATGTTCTCCATTTTAATTGGCTAAAATCCCAGGCATAATTCATCATAAACCAGCTACTGTCGACCAAATTTGGAAGAACTTTGCGATATGTGAACTGATTATGTCACAGAAGTGCAGCAAAATTGCCATATTTTTGAACGGTTAACAGAGAAGACCTGGGGACGAGGTTGAATACAAAATGGTGGATTATTTCGTTCGTTTCAGTCGTTTCACGAGGAAGACTGATTAGGCGAACTGTTAGCTAAAAACATAGCAAGAACAGCAAGAAGACAACTCCAAGGACGACATCTGCTATTTGGAGAATATTTGTAGAACTGAACAACTCTATGTCTCCTAACCTTGTGAATAAAACATGCACTATGCAAAATGAACTTAGCATTAAATGGTCAGGAGGTAAGCATGTTTTAGCTTGTTAAACTAACAAAACTTATAAGCTAATAGATAGCGGTACTGAACATAACATAGCGCAAATGGAGGTTGACACCATTATTTGCTTGACAGTAAGTCATATCTGCTTTTATGAATTGTTTTTGTTAAGGTTCTTCGTTGTTGTTGTTTTTATACCGGTCAGTGTAAAAATTCAACATGGACTGCGGGCTGAGGACCACGGACTACGGACCTGGTATAAAACGCGGTCTAGATATAAAATGAGGACTGTGGACTACGTTAGTAAAAAATGGGTTAATTTGTTCTAGGTAAGGTAAAATAAGATCAAAAGATCGCTAAATAGCACAACACGAGAGTTTAAGTTATATATACTCCTAGAAATTCTTGGTGGAGGTGTTTCGCTCGGTTCTCTATATCATCCTGAGCCTGACCAAAATGCTATTTTCTACACCCATTTTTAGATCTTGTCTCTGTCTCTAACTGATTCCTGACAGGGGTCACAAACGCGATGTTCATGTCTACATAGGTGTAAATCATGTCATCATCGCTTAGAATATAACATTGGATGATATATTTCGTTTACTATTCACGTATCTCAGGGTGATTAACCCTCTCCCCTAAATACAGCTTTTTTGTATCGTAGAATGCCGCTATATTGACCGTCTCGTCTGGGTTCTTCATTTCGTCATATCCCCAAGGCTTTGAAACAGAATTGTGGTATCTATAAGAATTTTACTCTCACTAACACCAATACTAATTTTTTATTCGGTGCAAGCTCAATTTCACATCTTCTATTGGCTTTAAACTATAAATTGTATTCTCTTCGAACTAACCCTTCAGTGTTTCATTTTCAGTTGCCTTCAGGTAGCGGCATATTCTTCCTTGCCCGTGCAGTTGAGTATGCTTTCCTTCTCCACGCTGAAGTTGTGTAGAATAGACTGCGTGACTAGCCAAAGGAATGTTTGTGTTTGAGGCAAGGAGCTGGGACTAATGTTTTATGCTAGTCCGCTATCCGTTTCTCTCAATTTACCTTACTAGGCCACAGTCCGCGGTCCGCAGTCCGCAGTCCCATTTTATACTGACTGGTTTTTATACTATTGATAGAGCTTAAAATGTGCTTGCTAAAGTGAATCACTTTCTGCGAAATAATAATTGCTGACATTTTGTTGAATTGCTAATGGTGATGACCCACCACATGCATGTCGATTGTTAGAGTGTTGAGACGGCATCCATCAGGAAATTGAGTAATTTTAATTTTCGGTGGACAAAAACCTTGTTCCAGAATATTGTAAGCCATATCGTTTTCTTTTTTATACTTTTCAAGGGCTATAGATGTAATTGGTTATCTGCAATAGCGCCAGATACATTTTATGGGAAACCAAGAAAATAAATTTCAAATTTCATAGGAATTAAGAAAACACAGGTTGTCATCGGTAAGATATTACATTTTGTGAAATTTGAAGCTTTTGACGTTTGTTTTCAGTCTCGGGCTCCCATAAGAACCTTTTCTTGAGAGTTGTTTCATTAACTTATGTTTGACATTTATAGCCCTCGATCGAAAAGTGTAAAAAAGAATGCAATATGATTGAACTGTTATTCTGGTACAAGGTTTTTGTCTAGAGAAAATTAAAATTACTCAATTTCCTAATGGATTCCGTGTCTGAATTTTTATTGAGGTTGAAAATCGCTCCGATTTATTCTAAAACTCATTTTTATGGAAATTATTTTAATATTTTAATCCCCCAACACAGCTGCTGCGAAAACACTTTATAGAGTAGCGAACACCAATCAGTGAAGGACACATTTTGCGGATTTTTTTACGATCTGTATACGTATACATATACATTTTTTCAGTTTTCGTTGTTAGCATTTTTGCG